TTGCCCAAAATGTGGATGGATAGGGAAAATTGACAGAGTCGGAGAGAAATATTTAGGATAAGGAAACCCCAGTGAGAGATCAATCCCCAAACCGCATTACAACTAATGAACTAAACATCAGAGCAGAACAACAAAATATAGTCCCAAATGTCCATGAACCGAAGCCACCACCGACACCACCACCAGTGGACCAGAACGCAGCAGTTTATCATTGTGGCCGAAAGGACTGTCCATCTCTTCCACATCTTTCTATTTCTCTCTTTCTCACTGCCGAATCAGCAGCAGCAGCAGCAGCAGTAAAGGACGTAACGGATGTCAGCAACAGGAACAAAGGCCATTCCATTTATAAACCACCAAAATGAGACAATGACCAGAGAATGACTCAGAGGAAGCTACTGCAACAGAGAAAGAGATGGTGAAAGTCCCAGATATTTTCCGGCAGAAGTGCAAGAACACACCACAAAACTGTTGGGGTCTTCGTTTCCATTGCTTTACTTTCCCTTTGGATGCATGCTGCAGGAAGGGCAGCAGCCTCCTTCCGAAAAACAGCACCAAGGAAGGTCCCTGACAGCCTGTCATCCGAAAAGCAGCAGCAACGAAAATTTTCAATGTCCATTGCGGTAGAGGGGTGTCCACATTTCGAAAGTAAAAGTCTCCCAGTCAATCTGTGTGCTTGACAATTTTGGCACGCCTATTCCTACTTTCACCCCAATAGAAAACCATAACTAAGGGGAGGATGAATGTGTGTGATAAATCTTGTGAAATGTAGAATTTAATGTAGAATTACATGCAGAAATGTGGAATGTAAAATTTAAAATATTATGTTGTAGTATAAGCGACTTACCCGTACATCTCATAGGCATCAACAATCACGGAAACATTCCAGAAATAGAGACGGATTGCTCCAAATCTCTTTAGAGGGTTCATGAAAACAATAACAAACTACTCTTCGTTTGCAGATTGACATCTCTGTTTATATTGTTATTTTTTTTTCGCTGAATATTCTTTGATTGTTGGGAGGTAGATGGGAATATGTTAGATTGCGAATTTACGCTGAAACATAAATGCTAAGGTTTTCCACATTTTCCAAGCATTCAAGTCTACCTCTTTGGTGCACCTGTCCACGGACAAAGCAGAGATCCCGCCAGCCGTAACGCAGCAATGCGTGAAATTTCAATTTAAACCATTAATAAACCCCACTGTTGGATAAAATTCCCTACGAATGCAATCAGGACACCCGCTTGAAATGGGAGACGACACACAGAAAAATACATAGACAATTGTCAAAGGACGAAAGAGAATGCAAGGAGGATGAATCCAAAAGTATGGTTTAGTCAGGGGGCTGCTATCCTTAGAAAGGGGCCACAAGCACACAACTTTGGACTACATTTCACAAAAGCCCGAACCACGCCCACAATTTAGACAATTTCACACAACAGAGAGAGGAGAAAGAGAAAGGGTGGCATGGGCTGGGCGGGGGGCAACGCTTCCGTTTCCGCTAGCTTGCACTGATTGTTTTATATCCTGTCAGAGGACACGCCGTTGCCATTGCCATTGCCACAGCCGAAAATTCACAAACTTGTTTTGCGCTTTCTTGGCGACTGACTAAAGGACCTCCACCACCTACTGCTGCTGCTGCCTGCTTCTCCTGTATCCTTTGGCGGTGGTCTGGGGTTTCTGCTTTCTGGACTCTCGTCATGGTGTCCCAATGTCCCTCGACTGTCGTCGTCGTTGCATTGTTGCGGCATTTGAATGCGGTCCTCGTCTGGCAGTCAGGCCGGCAGGCAGGCAGTCACAGTCAGTCCATAGAGCATCCCCTTGCATATTTAATCAAAGTGAATTACAAATGCCACCACAGACAATGACAGTGGAAACTTGGCAAATGACGACGATGCCACAGAGCTGTGAATGAAGATGGCAGCACGATGGACCACTGGAGCACGAGCACCCCCCCGCAGTCAGGCTGCTTATCAAATTGAAAGTGTTATATATAACACCAAGTGGAAGACGGCACTGGATAATGTTTCATTGTTGGAGGAGGCAGCCAGCCAGCAGGAGTAGGCAAAAGTAGCACTGAATGCCGGGTGTTTTGTAGCTTGTAATTTGCCATCGTAAGATCAAAAAGCATTCACTTAATAATACGATGGGGATTGGATAGTCCATTATTTAGCCATTGATGGGACAGCAACTACTTAGCGGGAAAGTCCTTTTCTTGCCCACCAAAAGAAATCTTCAACAAAAGTTAAGTTCTCATCCACAAAAAAAAACACCAAAATAAATAAAGAAAGAAAAGAAAGAAAGTTAACTTTATGGCAGGTACCTTTTGCACCTTTTTTTTTGGGTGTATCCCGCGTTTAATAATTACTCTTCTTTTTTTTGGTAACCAAATTACTTTATGAAAACGGTTTTCCATTTTGCTACTCGTAATATTAACCCTTCAGCTGCAGGAGGCTTTTCTTATTTTTTTTCTACGATTTTTCAATTGTTTTTGCGTGGGGCTTTTCTTTGGTGTAATTAAAGCAGCGAATTAAAAAAAAAAACTTCAATGGTATGGAAAAGCTTTCAATAGAAAATTGTATCAACATTTGAAATGGTTTTCCCATGAAAGAAAATGCTGCCCAAAAAAATATAATCAAATGGCAGTCCATTTTTGGGCTTTTCCCGCACAACGGCATTATTTTTGATTTGACGCATACAAATTTGTCTGCATTACAAATTCTCTAAATAGTTGATGTAGGGGCGGCAGGGGGCTGGGTCTACTATGGATATATTTTTATGTTCTATATGGGTAAATCCCTTGGGTTGCAATAAGCAAAACGAAAAGAAGGAAAAAAACGCAAAAGGCAAAAAAACTTTATTTTTTGTGCACTGCGGTGCGGTCCCACCGGTTTATGGACTTTGATTTTTATGACTACTGCAGATTCCCTGTCAGGAGAAACCCACATTTTCCAGGGCTACCCACACCCCTCGCTCTCCCTCTCGGGTTACTCCTGTCGTGTGTCCTCCAACTCCTGTGACTCCTCCGATTTCCTGGCACTTTCAATTAACCCTTTTGACATTGAATTCACTTGATATGCCCCCCGCGCACAGGAGGCGCCTGCCTGCCTCCATGGCTTAAATCGAGATTAGGAATGTTGGAAATTTAAGACCATACCACACCCCACACCTTACACACGCCCTCCGCTCTCACTCTCTTTCGAGGATAATTTAATAAGCTTCTGCCATGTAACCAACTCTGGAGGAGAAGCCTTTGCCGTGCCATGCCGTGCCCTTCTTTTAAGCCTATAATTTACAATGTTTCGGCTCGCCTTGACTTTTCTTCTTTCAAAGGGAAAGGCAGAAAAGGAGGCAACAAAAATTAACATTTTCTTTTGGGTGAGCATTTTTTTTTAAATGGAAATTAAAGTGCGCGCAAGTGTAATTAAGTAGCTATGGAGGGGGTAGCGAATCCCTTTCTTATTTTGGCCATTTCTCAACAGACCAGTCGACTGAAAATGGGTTAAACTCTTGGGGATTTATGACAATTTTTTAATTAGCTGAGCCCAGGCCCCCAGCCGCTCCTCTGCATGAGTTCTTTGGGGAATTAATCAAAATCGTTTATGCGTAAATAAACTTTTTTTAATTTTTGCCTATGAAGCAAAATCATAATTGCATATGGAAGATTTTTTTAATATATTCAGGAAAATTGTTGCTTGTAAAAGTTATGGCTTTTCACTTTAATTTCACTTGTTAAAAGTTTACACGAGTTTTATATTCTTTTTTTATTGATTGATAACTTTCCACAAAAAAAAAAGGAAAAAAGTTCATCAGAAATCTGCAACAATTAAATATGATTGCAAAAAAGTTCCAGGACTTGCGTTAATCGAATTGAGGGAGTTCAGAAAATTTGCTCGTGGAATCATGCATTTTTTATTTTCAATGGAATTTACGATCTAGGTGTCCTTTAGGTATTTAGGTGGTATTTTATAACAATTATCTGTTTATTATAGGATAGGATAAAAATAACTAAATATAAATAATGATAAAAGCGGAAAAAATAAAAATTACAAATAAATATTTTTATATTTTATATGAGCGAAATTATCGCAAAGCCAGCAACTGAGGTAGGAATCTGGCTAGGATTTGCCTGAAGCCACTCAAAAAGTTATCTGACGCACCTGTTGATGGCCATAGATATATTTTTTGGGTAAAACCATTTGCATGCGCTTTAATTTCTTTTATGATATCTCCGCTTTTTTTACCGCAAATATAAAGCTAAGAAGTCTCCCCAATGATAAACAATAATCTTCATATGCAATAAACAAAAAATAAATAAATAAAAAAAGTCACTTTAAGCTAAGAAATATGGTATAAAACAAAATGTACCCAGTCTTTCTTCATTTAAACAACAAATTAGATTGCATTGCAATTTGAAACGCTAACAGCTTGCGCGCAGTGCATGCACATGCAAGCAGTGACAAGCAGTGTTCATGTTATCGGCTTGCGCTCAGCTTTCACTTTTGAAGCGTTCGTTCAAGCATTCGCATGATATTATATGATGATTTCCCGCGTGATGTCAAGCGGTCGTCGGTTCATTAAAGTAATAATAATAGTACAATTTTGAGCGAGTGTCAATTATGAAATTACTGAAAAAAGTATCTCAGTAGCCTGCCTGAATGCCTGAACTTTGACTGCTGCTCGATCGTAAATGGAGGGGCTGCTGGCAGATAAAAACCGACTTCGTACTACTCTGGGATCATTAAAAAGCAATTACAACTTGTACACGAAACATCTGTGATACTGCCTGCTGCTTCTGCGCTTGTCTTCCAGAACAGAGCAACACTCACTCGCTCCATCTCCCTCCCTCTCTCTCTCTCTCTTTGTTGTGTGGTGGCGTCTTATCAATCGTGATATTCTCCCCCCACCAAGTGCCCACCATATGTTTCGCTTGGCACATTCGCGATAAGCGTCGGTCGGGCGTGATTAAAACCCCACAACAACGGAATTGAGGCTGCACTCTGAGCTACACTCAGACGTGTAGTCGCAGTCGAACTGATAGATTGAGATCGGACGGGAACGGAACGGTCTGGTCTGGTTCTAGTGTATAACTGTATAACTGCGGCGCCGGAAGTTTAAACCCTAAAAATACAAATAAATTAATAACTAAAAAACGCAAGAAATGGAAATACGTGTGGGCGTGGGCGATCTCCTAAAAATGGGCACCAAGTAGGTCAATCAGCTCCCTTGTGTACATACACCAATTATACCCTTGATTGCTTCAAGTAGATTTCCAAATATGTGGAACCGGCGAAATCCCCTCCTCTGTGGCGATAAGATTAGAACAAACAAAAAACACTCATTAATAAAAATCAATTCTCTCTCTCCCTCTCTCCCTCTCTATCTCTCTCTTTGTGCTCTTAACCCTCCATAGGCTGGTGGGCCACAAGATCGTACAATACCGCCTGGCCACCAAACAGACGAAGGTCATCAGCACCAGGAATGGCCAGTTAAAGGGTCTGCGCCGCAAGACCCTCTACGACGAGGAGCTGTACTATGCCTTCGAGGGCATACCCTTTGCCCAGCCCCCGGTGCGGGAACTACGTTTCCGGGCGCCACAGCCTGCTCAGCCGTGGCAGGGCATACGCGACTGCACATACCCGCGGGCCAAGCCCATGCAGAAGCATTTCGTCCTGAGCATCGTCGAGGGTGCCGAGGATTGTCTGTATTTGAATGTTTATGCCAAGCAGTTGGACACGGAGCGGCCGCTGCCGGTTCTGGTGTGGATCTATGGCGGTGGCTTTCAGATCGGCGAAGCCTCCAGAGATTTCTATAGTCCTGATTATTTTATGAAGCAGGATGTGATCCTGGTCACGTTTAACTATCGCGTGGGTGCTTTAGGTGAGTCCAAATTGCCGAAAATCCAATTGGTAATCAATATTTTTTTGTTGATTTTGAATGCCTACAGGGCTGCCCACTAAACAGCGCTGCCAACCTGTTTGATTTGTCAGGTGTAAAAATAACTATTTATTTAATTTAATATATTTTAAACAAGCTGCCCTGCCCTGAGGCATAGTTTATTTTACTAAATTAAATTAATTTTAAACGAAAACAGCATAAATGTGGTTCTCGGCAGCTAATAGCCTGAGGCAACTGCAGCCTTTTTGTGACGTCACGCCCAGATCCACCCTCTTACTAATTGCATGGCATGTTAACTTAATTGCAAACAAAAAGATTTCCCAAGGCTATAAACTTTAATTGCATATTTTAGCCACTTTCTCAATCAATCAGAAAGTTCATAAATCAATTTATGACGTACATATGTATATAGCGTTTAAAACTGCTTGAACTGCTTATTTAACGCAAACTAATTACCGAAAGTTGGCAGCCCCTTAAACAATAATTAGTTATATATAACTAAAATATCTATTTATAGGTTTCCTGAGCCTCGCCGATCGCGATTTGGATGTGCCTGGCAATGCGGGACTCAAGGATCAGGTGATGGCCTTGCGATGGGTGCGGGAAAACATTTCACAGTTCAATGGCGATGCAAATAATATCACGCTGATGGGCGAGAGTGCTGGTGCCGCCTCCACACACATGATGATGACCACCGAACAGACGCGCGGACTCTTCCACAAGGCCATCATGCAGTCGGGATCGATGTACAGCGAGTGGGCCAGCGAGCCACGTGGAAATTGGGCGTACCGGCTCGCCTGCGCCATTGGTTACTCGGGCAGCGAGAACGAAAAGGAGGTCTTTCGGTACCTGCAAAGCGCCTCAGCCTCGGATTTGGCGACGCATTGCATTTCACTGATCACCCAGGAGGAGAAACGCAACTATGTCCTGTTTACCTTTACGCCCGTGGTGGAGCCGTATGTGACCAGCGATTGTGTGATGCCCAAACCGCATCACGAAATGGTCGCCGATGCCTGGGGCAACGAGCTGCCTCTGATCATTGGCGGCAACTCGTTTGAGGGTCTGTTCTCCTACCAGTCCACCATGCAGGATGCGGATCACATGCTCAGCGCCTTTGAGGCGCTGATACCTAGGGAGGTGCGCAACCAGGTGACGCCCGCTGAGCTCAAGGATCTGATAAGAGAATTTAAGATTTCGAATTTCGATGATGCCACACGCGGACGCATGGAGTTCAACGAGTGCCTCCATCTGCTGTCCGTCAAACATTTTTGGCATGGACTCCATCGCACGGTGCTCTCCCGCCTGGCGCTCGCCCCCACCACGCCCACCTACCTGTACCGCTTTGACTTTGATTCGCCGCACTTCAATCACTTCCGCACGGTGATGTGTGGCCGCCATGTGCGCGGCGTCAGTCACGGCGATGATCTCTCCTACCTGTTCTACCTGCTGCTGGCCACCAAGCTGGACAAGTCCTCGCCGGAGTATCGCACCATTGAGCGAATGATTGGCATGTGGACTTCCTTTGCTGCGAACGATAATCCCAATTGTCCACAGATTTCGCCTGTGCTGTGGGATGCACTCGACACAAATGGTCCACAGATGTGCCTCAACATTGGCAACCAATTGGAGTTCGTTGAGCTGCCCGAAGCGAAGCAGCTGCACATGTGGGATCGACTCTACGATAAGCAGAATAATAATGAAATAGAATAAGTTATTTCTAGAAGGGGAGCGAGAGGTGTGTCAGTCGGTTAAGTGCCCAGTGGATAACTCTATAAAGATTAATTTTTATTTTTATAAACAATTAAATTAGACAGACCCCAACTAGGTTCCCCACTGTAGTTAGCCTAGTCCCAGAACTGGTTTATTTGTGTAATTGCAATTCGAATTCCGGGGGCTGGCTGTCTGGCTGCCTCCACCAAGTAGTTTTCCATTAAGTCACCTTAAACTTGACACTCGCTGGCCGTGTGGCCCCTGGAATTATGACTCTCTCTCTCGTCTGGCCCCTGCCTGGCCTTTGAAATGTCTATAACTGAATGGGATGTAATTAAACAAATTAATGTGGATTAATTAAAACACGCTGTGAAAAATGTTTCAAAGGCCAGCGACTGGGGGGCAGTGTTACGTGGTGGAAGATTCTACCTAGAGAAATGAACTTTTTAAGCTTTAAATTTTACAGGAAAGTGCGCACATGAACCCTCTATTAAATAAAGTTATTACATTTTATACCCAAACAATTCTTAAATGGAAAAATCTGAATATTTTCGGTATAGAAATTATCACTTTTAATTCTTAGTTACACACGAAATACAAAAACTTTTTGTACATGGAAAATTTTGGCAACAATCTTTGGAACTACAGCAGAAAACCTAATTAAAAAATACACCCTAAAAATATTAAATCTAATAGAGCGACTCTTTGGAATAGAAACTGTCCCAGACGGCCAGGGTGCCTGCCTCGGGCAACTCAATCATTTCCAGCTTTTGGCTAATGTTAAAACAATGCTCCACACCGTTGGCGGTGCGTTGAATGGGCAGCCATTCGGCCGGGGCAATGGCCGGGCAATTGGGATCTCCGTTGGCTGCAAAGGCTGTCCACATGCCCACCATGCGCTCAATGGTTCGATATTCCTGCGAGGATTTGCTTATCTTGGGCGCTATAATGTTGTAGAACATGTAGGAGAGCTCATCGGCGTGCGAGACGCCACGAATGCGATCGCCGCAGACCAAGCGACGGAACTGATTGAAGTGCGGCGAATCAAAGTCAAAGCGATACAGATAGGTGGGCTGTGTGGGTGCGTATGCCTGGCGGGACATGACCACGCGATGCAGATCGTGCCAGATCTGGCGATGCGAGAAGATATTCAGCGCCTCAAAGAATCCCATCTTCTCGCGCGTCTCATCGTCAAAGTAGACCTTCTTGAGGCGTCGCACCAGCTCGTCGCGCTCCTCTTCGGTGGCCGCCTCGCTCACCTCCCGCGGAATGATGTTGTGGAAATGCGTCTGTGCCCAGGGATCGCCGCGCAGGAGCTGATACGAGAAGAGGCCCTCGAAGGAGTTGCCACCCACAATCACGGGAATATCATTGCCCCAGGCATGGGGCAGCATCTCAATGTGCCTGATGGGCACCACACAGTGCGACGACTCGTACGGCTCCACCACAGGGCCAAAGGCGAACAACAGGAAGCTGCGTATCTCCTCCCTGGTGATGATATCCTGGTCAGTGTTTGCTATCTGGCGAGCCGAAATTTTGGTCAGATATTTCAGCACTTCGGCATCCTTTTCGCCGCCCTTGTAGCCCATCTGCTGGGCCAGCCGGAAGGCCCACTGGCGGTCGGGACTCTCCACCCATTCGCTGAGAGCACAGCCCGACTGGAGGATGGCCTTGTGGAAGAGTCCGCGCGTCTGTTCGGTGGTCATCATGATGTGCGTGGAGGCGGCACCGGCACTTTCGCCCATCAGCGTAATGTTGTTGGGATCGCCATTGAAGTGGGCAATGTTGTCGCTGATCCAGCGCAGTGCCATTACCTGATCCTTCAGTCCGGCATTGCCGGGCACATTCAATTTGGGATCCTTAAGGCTCAGGAAACCTGAAAAGGGAGAAAAGTTCTTTAGAAGAAATTGCTGGAAGGGGATTGACTCCGTTCGACAACTCACCCAAAGCGCCAAGTCTGTAATTGATGCAGACAAAGACCACATCCTGCTTCATGAAGTAGTCGGGACTGTAGATGTCTCTGGAGGCCTCGCCCTTCTGGAAGCCACCGCCATAGATCCACACGAGGACGGGCAGTGGCTGCTCCGACTGCAGCGTCTTGGCGTACACATTCACATGCAGGCAATCCTCGGATCCCTCGATTATGCCCATTATCATATTCCGCTGCATGGGCTTCGATCGATAGGTGGTGCAGTTGAGCACACCCGTCCAGGACTCGGCCGGCTCTGGGGCACGGAAGCGCAGCTCCCCAAGCGGTGGCTTGGCATACGGTATACCCTCGAAGGCGTAGTACAGCTCCTCGTCGTAGAGGGTCTTGCGCTGCAGACCCATCACCTGGCCATTTTCCGTGTCCAGCACGATGGTGTTGTTGGTGGCCAGCCGATACTGCTGGAATTTGTGCCCCACGAGCCTGCGAGGGTAGAGTACTATGATTAGTGATTAGACCAGCGACTGACACGACGTGGGGTGTATGACAAGCGATAAGGAAATCTAATGATAGCCCCCACATCGTCCAGTCGGGTAGAGGTCGCACGAAGTTCTCAGGTGCAAAGTCTCACACGCGACCCTGACCTGGCGCAATGGACTTGTGGACCGCCCCGTGGCACTCTCTCTTGTACTCACTTGGCGCCCATCTTGAGCAATTTTTGCCAGCCTACTTGTACTTCCATAATTTATTTTGTGTGTTTCTGCGAATTTAATTCTAGGGAATTTAGTTGTATTTGGATTGTCAAAGGTACTACGGACTACTGCTGGATCAGATCCAATATTGTTGGGCTGGCCACTGCGATGCGACTGAAATCGCATTTCGGATGCGACTGAGATTCGCCGGCATTTTTGGCGCTCCGGGAAAGATAGACGCCGACAGCCGGCAGCAGCGCGCACGTGAATACATTCACACGACCCCAGCTGTTTGGCGTTCTGTACGTGTGTGTGCACATAAATATGCATGTACATATGTATGCAGCACACCGCTACCCGTTTTGCGTCTTTGCATTTAAGCGAAATGAGCAATAAAAATAGAATTGCGCTCAAACGGTGCCCTGCTCTGACATTCGCACTATAATAAACCTAATTTTAGCATAGAAAAAGCTTATATTTAGATGCTGCAAAGCTCCCACTTTGTTTCTTGCAGTGTAGTTGCGTATGTTTGTATGTATTGGCACTTTATTTCCAACAAAAAAATACACCAAGGGTTACATTGCAGTGCAATACTCAAATGAGTCTTAAGAAATTTGTTTTTGTTTATAATTAAATAAACAGCCCCAACGTATGCTTCCCTTGAATCAACAGCGTTCCCTGTCGCGGGTCAAGGCCCGAAAGTTGGGCCTATAAAGCCGATGCAGGGAGACTTGAGCTTCTACAAGGTAAGAAGTGAGCTTATTCCTGTGATGCAGCAAAGATCTGTCAACTATTTCGAAATATTCTCACAGTACATCAGCCACAAGCACTTCTGGCTACCAATAATGAAGGTAATCCGGGCACGCCAAAGCCATGGCGACATTCCGACATTATTAAAATAATCGAGTTACCGGGCTTGGACAAGCTAAAGATGTGGGAGAAGATCATCAAAATCGAAGTTTTTAATTTTTTCATATAATTTAGTTAAACAGAAACAAGCTAAAGATAAGGAAAGATATCATCAAAATGATGGATTCATTTTAAAACTGGTCAAATGCCATTAGTTTTTAATTTGTATATTTTCATAATTTTTTGGTTCACCAGGGCTGCAGCATTACAAAAATAATTAAACATTAAATTTATATTGTAAACGGTAATTTCTGATTATTCAACGTTTTTAATTAAAATATTTATATATTAGTTTAATTTATTTTCTAATATATTGATAACAATAGTGTTACAGCAGCCCTGGCTTAGTGCTGCCAACCCGTCAGTTCCAGCGCAGTTGGCAGCTCTTTTTATAACGGCACAAGTCGTCGGCGTCACGCTGATATCGCCCGCCGCCGCGACGCGCCGCTCAACAAACTAATAAACAAATACTATGCACAAAACCTGAAATGAAAAGTTATAGTATGCAAAGCTTTTTGTGAGAAAGCAAGCAAAGCAAAGCAAAAGTGAAATATCAGCTGTCTCAGTCAACTTGTGCGGTCATCGTGCGCGTTGTTGTCGTTGTTGTTTTTTTTTTCTAGTCGGTCCGCCGCCGCTCGCTTTGCGCGATAAAAACAAATGCCATAAATATGTGCATTTCGTTAGATAAAAAGCGCTAAGTGTCGAGTTTTTTTATTCAATCGCTAGACATGGAGAGGTGAGTACTTTTCCACTGTTTTCTTGCGCTACAAACAGCTGGGAATCTTTTGATGGCAGCATTCTGGTGCAGACAGAGAGTGGCCCTGTAGTGGGGCGACGCTGCAGGGGCGTCTATGGCGATGAGTACGTGAGTTTCGAGGGCATTCCGTATGCCAGGCCGCCAGTGGGACGTCTACGTTTCATGGCCCCGTTGGCGGTGACACCCTGGACGGAGCCCCTGGATTGCCGGGCGAAGGGCCCAAAGCCACTGCAGTTCAATCACTACAGCAAACAGCTAGAGGGCGTCGAAGATTCCCTGCAATTGAATGTGTATGCCAAGGAGGTGGGGCTGTCTCTCTTTATGATTTGGCTGCACATATTGACTCACTCTTATTGCAGCTCCATTCAGCTAAACCTCTGCCGTTGATCGTTTTCTTCTTTGGCGGCGGCTTCGAGAAGGGCGATCCGACCACGGATCTGCACGGGCCCGACTACTTCATGATGCAGGATGTGGTTGTGGTCACGATCTCCTATCGAGTCGGACCCTTGGGCTTTCTATTGCTCAAAGATCCCGCCGTGGGCGTGCCCGGCAATGCTGGGCTCAAGGATCAGCTGCTGGGCCTCCGATGGATACACGCGAACGCGGCCAGCTTCAATGCGGATCCCAATAATGTGACGGCGTTTGGGGAGAGCGCCGGAGCGGCGTCTGTCCATTATCTGATGCTGAATCCCAAGGCGGAGGGACTCTTCCACAAGGCCATTCTGCAGTCGGGCAATGTGCTGTGCACATGGGCCCAATGTCCGATAAACGACATGCCGCAGCGTCTGGCTGGTAATCTGGGAATGGAGAATGTGAATGACGCCACCGATGCCATGATTCTGGACTATCTGCAGGCTCTGCCGGGAGAGCAGCTGGTGAAGCCGTATCTCCTGAGTCGCGCCGAGCACATGGACGATTGTGTGTTCCAGTTCGGGCCAATGGTGGAGCCCTACAGAACGGATCACTGTGTGTTGGCCAAGCAGCCGTCTGAGCTGCTGGCCACTGCCTGGGGCAACAAGATTCCACTGCTGATGAGTGGCACCTCCTTCGAGGGCCTGCTGATGTATGGTCGCGTCTTTGTGGCACCCTATCTGCTGACCGACCTAAAGGATCAGCCCGAGCATATGCTGCCGTTGCATTTGAAGCGTACCCTGCCCCTGGCTGTGGCACAAAACTTGGGCAAGCGTCTGCAGGCGACGCATTTCGGAGAGAGCGCCGCTATAGACTTGTCGCCAGCGGGAGTGTTGGCCTACTGCGAGGTAAGGGAATCTATTTGGGAATCTAAGGGCGTCTCTGAACTATTTCTTTGTTTTTTTTTTGTGCAGTACGCCACCTACAAGGTCTTCTGGCTGCCCATTATGAGGGTAGTGCGTTCGCGCCTACGCCATAGTATGGCTCCTACCTACCTATGCCGCTTTGATTTCGATTCGCCAACATTCAATCATCAGCGCATCAAGTATGTGGGTGACAAGCTACGTGGCGTGGCCCATGTGGATGATCATTCGTATCTGTGGTTTGGCAGCTTCGCCTGGAAATTGGACAAACATACGACAGAATTTCAAACCATCGAACGGATGATTGATATTGTCACAAGCTTCGCTAGAAGTTCGAGTCCCAATTGCCCGAAAGTCGCCGAACAGCTGCCACGCACCAAGGAATGGCTGCCCTTGGACAGCCGTCAGTCCAACGTGGAATGCCTCAATGTATCGGAGAGCATCAAATTGATTGAGCTGCCGGAACTGCAGAAGCTGCGCGTGTGGGAGAGTGTCTGCCAAATCAAAGACTAGCTTCAGAAAATGATTTTCTTTTCCTATTGTTTTTGTCGAAATTCCAAGTGCATTAAAAATGTCCACACGATTGCCTCTTGTCTCGCCCTTGTTTTTGGGTTTTTTTGTGTGTTGCTTTGAGATACGACAGAGAGAGAGAGGGAGGAGGTTGATAAGCTGCTGCTGCTATCTCAATCCGTTTGCTCGATAATGTTATGGACTCTGGGGGTGGTTCAGTCTATGCTTGAGGCTGTTTGCAGGCGGATACAATGTCCGAATAGTAAGTGTATTCTATATTCATCAAACCATCAAATCGTACGCCTAGTACTTGTATTTTTCTATCGTCTTTTGCAGCAGTGAAGGTGAAGTTACCTGCCCCGTGGTGCAGACAACGCATGGCCGCGTGCGTGGTGTGCTGCTGAGAACACTCTACGATGAGGAGCAGTTTTACGCTTTTGATGGCATACCATATGCTGTTCCCCCTTTGGGTACGCTCCGCTTCAAGGAACCTCACGAACTGAAGCCCTGGCATGGCATACGGGACTGCAGCAAGCCGCTGGACAAGTGCATACAAGTGAGCAGCTATACAAAGCAAGTGGAGGGCTCGGAGGATTGCCTTTATTTGAATATCTCTGTGAAAACGGTACGAAATTGGGGGTTTCAAATCAGAGAATTCTTTCTTATGGATTTATTTTGTTTAGCTAAAAAGCGAACAGCCCCTGCCGCTGATGGTTTATGTCCATGGCGGCGGTTTCAAGGGCGGCGATGCCTCACGTCGCGCCTGGGGACCCGACTATTTAATGCGCGAGAATGTTATTCACATAAGCATTGGCCATCGCTTGGGGCCATTGGGTGAGTGCAGTTCCAAGGGCAGGCAGATCTTATATCGCTTTCTTTACAGGCTTCCTTTCCTTTGCGGATCCATCGCTGGAGATACCCGGCAATGCTGGCCTTAAGGACATCATTCAAGCCCTCAAATGGATCAAGGCAAATGCCCGGAATTTCAATGGCGATCCCGAGAGAATAACCGTCTTTGGGCATAGCTCGGGCAGCATGGCCGTGCAAATGCTGCTGGTCACACCGCAAACCGAGGGACTCTTCCACAAGGCCGTGCTCATGGCTGGCTTCTGCCCAGAGCTGAATCGTCTGCCCCATATGGAATATCGTCTGGCCAAGCATTTGGGCTACAAGGGCGAGAATATCGATTCCCAAGTTTTTGACTTTATAGCAGCGGCAGATCCAAAACTGTTGGTCGCTGCGGACTTCTGGACAGCAGCGGAAAAGGTTGAGGGCCACATGATGCCTTTTGTGCCGTCAGTGGAGGATTATGTGACGCGCCAAGCGGTGCTGCTGTCGGAGCCGATTATACTACAGCGTACGGCTTGGAGCAATCGCATACCCGTAATTATGGGCACCAACAGCGACGAAGGACTCCTCTTTAATCGGGTTTTAAAGGATGCAAAGTCTCTGCAGGAGATACAAACGCATCCAGAGTGTGTGCTGCCAACGACGCTGCTCAATCGCTGCGATCTCGGCCAGCGGCGACAGCTGGGCCAGTCGCTGCTCGATCATTTCTGTCAGGCGCATGGCCATCAACTGACCATCGAGCACACGGCTGCACTGACCCAGCTGTTTACCCACAACTTGATGCACTCGCTGGAGCGTTTGGTATTGGCACGATTGTCGTATGGCCAGGCACCCACCTACCTTTATCGCTTTGCTTTCGATTCACCGGACTTCAACCTGTATCGCATTCGGTTTTTAGGCAAGGAGCAGCGCGGCGTCGCCCATGTGGATGAATTGGGTTACATCTATGTGCTGCCCTCCACCTTTAAGCTGGATCGATCCCGACCAGAATATGCTACCATTTGTCGCATGGTTGCAATGCTCGTCCACTTTGCCGCCACCTCGGATCCCAATGCCCAGCTAACCAAACCTTTGGCGGAATGGAAGCCAGTCACACGTTTCGGACCACGCATGATCCTCAATATAAGTGACGAACTGAAGTTTATGCCACAGCCAGAGCGGCAGAAATTAAAGTTCTACGATCGCCTGTACGAGCAGGCGGGCGTGGCTCTGTTTTAAATAGACCCAATAAACCTCAAAATCTAATCTGCTGATCATCGATTGCTTATCAAATGGCGGGTGTGTGTGTGTTTCAGGAAGCTTTTTCAAATCCAAATCATATGATGGACACTTGAACTTGTTTTTTATATGTAAAAGACAAGAGCTTTGGTTAGCTTTGAGATAAAAGATATTTGAAGGTGTTTCTGGAATTATTTTATTAGCTTGTTGTTTAAAAGATAATTAAACATTTTGCTTTATATCCAAAACTAGGCCATAGTTTTTTTTTTGTTGTATACAATTTTGTTGGATAAGATAGAATTATTTTTGTACATAAATTTGCATAACACTCATAAAATTCTATGGTACACGATTTTTTGCGTCCGGATCTGCCTGCCAGGGTACCTCAAATTTAGGGTAATGTGCAGAAGGATGTATTTCCCGATTATTTAATAAATTCAAATAGGAGATACATAAGTACATACAAAAATTATTCGTACTGGGTATACTAATGTCGAGGCACGTGTACCTCTACAGAAATTATTTCGATTGTTTTCTCTTAGTTTCAAGCCTTTAAAAGTGCTTAATGTATAGTTCAAAATTAATTTAAATAGTTAATGAATCTAATATATATATTATAATCTATGTAACACCTCTAAGCAAGTGTTATCCGCCATGCTGCAGCGCACCTCGGCCGCATTACTGCACGAAAAAAGCTTAGGCCTGTCCTTTTTGAAGCAGTCGTGTCTTAATATGCATGTTTAAATAATAATTATTATTTTAATTAACTTGTAGCCCTTTATTGTTTATCCAATCGTCATACTTTCATACACGCACGCGTAATGCAGCAGTGCACCTCAGTTGGTTCTTCCTGCTGTTATTATTTATACCCTTAAAAAAACTTAAAAGTTTAAGCATAAACTCCCCTGATCATTGCCTTTCTTTGCATACAATTATAACTTAATTATAATTTACAGGGAAACAATTGTTTTATAAAAGTACAACCCTAGTGTTATCTCCGGAACAACAATAACCTATGCGAATTAACCCCATAGCTTGATAAGAGACCCCATAGCACTACAACTAATTCCAGATAACTACAAAAACGAAAAAGCTCTATCAGTGGACACACGCGACTCGAACTGTCGAGCTTTTTTTTTTTAATTTTATTTTTGTGAGTTCATTAATTTCTGTTTCAGTTGACAGACAACACGCGCGGCAAACAGATCGACACACCAGAAAAATGAGTAAAGCGTAAGTAATGTCTATGAAAATTATGCAGAACTTGTTATACCCGTACTCAAAAAAGAGTTAAGCGGTATATTAGATTTGTGGTAAAAGTGGATGAGTCTAAAGACTATAAGACTATAAGAGCTTGAACAACCAAGTTTTGTTTCCAGAATCATGTGATATCACACTGCTACAAGTGCGTTTCAAAATTTCGCCCCGCCCCCTTCATAAGCTCACAAATTTATATACTGACTGAGTACGGGTATAAAAGTAGAGTCGCGTCGAAAGAAGCGACTCACACGTTCCTTCTCGTTTCATTTAAATAAGTGTGATTTCCTCACAGCGCAGATGAATGTGAAATTACTTTGCCGCTGGGCAGGATCAAGGGTGTGAAGCGTGTAACGCTGTACGATGATTCATACTACAGCTACGAGCGTCTGCCCTTTGCCAAGCCACCGCTGGGAGAGCTGCGTTTTAGCGCGCCCGTGCCCGTAGAGCCGTGGAGCGGTGTGCTGGACTGCAGCCATTATGCGGCGAAACCTGTGCAAAAGAATTTCATGACACAGGTGATCGATGGCAACGAGGACTGCCTGTATCTGAATGTCTATGCCAAGCAGCTGAAAGTGAGGGAGAGAAAGAGAGCTACAATTCAATCGCATTGATTATGATAATTGATGTTTTTGTTTTGTAGAGCGAGAAACCTTTGCCGGTCATGGTCTACATTTATGGCGGGGCCTTCACTGTGGGCGAGGCCACACGCGAGCTGTATGGTCCTGACTATTTTATGGCCAAAGATGTTGTCTTGGTGACACTCAATTATCGTTTGGACTGCTTGGGTGAGTGTGTTAGTGGGAGTGGGTATCTTATCTGTGATTAATGCTATCTTTTTGTTGTAAAATCATCCAGATTGCCATATGATAGTCCAATATTTGTCATAATTGTTAATCAAATTTGCAAACTGAAAGCAGAAAGAATCAGTACTCATTATCTTCCTTTGCAGGCTTTCTCTCGCTCACGGATCCCAGTCTCAAAGTGCCAGGCAATGCAGGGCTCAAGGATATGGTTCTGGCACTACGTTGGGTCAAGCAATACATTTCACACTTTAATGGCGATGCCGACAACATAACAATCTTCGGCGAGAGTGCAGGCGGCTGCTCCACACACTTCATGATGTGCACAGAGCAGACCCGTGGACTCTACCACAAAGCCATACCCATGTCGGGCACTGTTCACAATTACTGGTCGAATACACCGAGGTCGGATTTTGCCTATCGTTTGGCGAAGCATCATGGCTATACGGGAGAGAATGTGGATGCACAGGTGCTTAAACATTTGCGCGGTGTGCCGGCATTGGAGCTGGTGCGCCACAGTTTGTTAACGCCAGAGGATCGCCGGAATGGCATGCTCTTTCCGTTTGGACCCACGATAGAGCCGTATGTGGGCGAGGATTGTGTGGTGCCCAAATCACCAGTGGAAATGGCTCGCGAGGCTTGGACCAACGAACTGCCTGCCATGCTGGGTGGTACATCGTTTGAGGGTCTCTTCATGTATCCCGGTGTGGCGGCCAATCTCAAGAGTTTGGATACCTTAAGCGAGGATCCCCTTAAAATGGTACCCCATGATGTGCGTGTGATTAGCACGGAGAAGGAGAACCTGGAGTACAGCGAGAGGATGCTCAAGATGACCTTTGGCAATGCTAAGCCCAGTTCGGAACTATTTATGAATTTGCTGGATGTGAGTGCAGCTATCTATCAGTTATCTTTATCTCTATTTAATCTTTATCTTTCTCATCCCTTTAGTACTATTCATATAAGGTCTTTTGGCATGGCTTGAGTCGCACATTGCAGGCAAGATTCGCCTATGCCCGTGCACCCACATATTTCTATCGCTTTGACTTTGATTCGCCCAACTTTAATTTCTATCGTAAGAAATTCTGTGGCGACAATATCCAGAAAGGCGTTGCCCATGCCGATGATCTGAGCTATTTGTTTCGTAACTCTGAATCCTGGAAGCTGGAAAAATCCTCAGCGGAATATCGCACAATACAGCGAATGATTGGCATTTGGACTGCCTTTGCAGCCAGCTCCAATCCAAATTGTGACGAAATAAGCGAAGTAAATTGGCAGCCAGCGAAAAAGTCGGAGCCCAAGCGTGTGCTCAACATAAGTGAGGATGTGAAGATTGTGGATCTGCCGGAATATGAGAAACTTCAAGTGTGGGATAGCATCTACAAGCTAGATAATTTGATTTAAGGTTTTATTGTAACAAAAGAAAATTCTCTAGGGATCCATAAACACCTAGAAAAATTCTGTAAACATCTATGAAAAATCCGTGGAAATTCGTTTAAATTTTGTGCTAAAAACTGTCGACAACTATTTCTTGTAACTTGCTAATAATCTCTATAATTTTCTGCATGTCCAAAATCGTTTCGGTTATACCAGTAACGCGTCATGCGGCAGTGCCCTTCGGCCGGCTTGGGCCTGTGCCTGGAATGGCAGTGCCTCCATGTGCCTGGCAACTGTCGATAAATAGACCGAAAATGATAGATCTAGTACTCTTCAAGACATATATCTATGCATTTAAGTGTCATACACAATGCCTTGGATTATTTCCCATTTATCATTGTGATTTCAAAATCTCTAGTTGGCCTTGCAAAAATTGTTTTCTCGGATTACTAAAAGAATTTAAATTCCTGGAATATTTACGAGTGCGCTTTCCTCTTTTTTTGTTGTTCTAATTAATAAGAAAACTTCAAAAATGGCTAACCCCAACGCGATTTCGAATAATCCACGCACCCAGGAGGATCAAGGCGCTGGCCAGCTGCAAATGGAACTGAAGAAACTTGTGCTGTGGCGCAACATTCCCCGCACAATGTTTGTTTTTACGAGCATTCTGATACTGCTGGTGGACATAATGAACCATTCGGCCATCAGTGTGGTGAGCATGTTGGGCATTACCGTGATCCTTGGCGCCACGGGATATCGCGTCTTCGTTGAAGTTATGGAATTGTGGAACAGAAGGAACAACGAGGAGGAATACTATTCCTATCGTTTCGATGTGTTGCTGACATGCAACATACCGCAAGAGGAGACGATGCGTCTGGCTGGTGTGGCTGTCGCCAAGTTGAATGCATTCGTTAACAAAATGATTGAGCTGCTGCTGATGAAAGATTTGTGCGAATCGTTTAAGCTGCTGGCCGGTCTCTTTTTCATCAATATGCTGGGGGATTACTTCAATGTCACGACTCTGTTGCTGATAGGTGAGTTTTTTCCACAGCACAGTCTTTACAGATTTAAAAAATTAAATTTTTAACATATTTTTAAGGTCACATTTTGCTGTTTACTTTGCCAAAGTTGTACGAATTAAGGAAGACATCGTTTGATAAATTGCTGCTCGAAGTGGGCGCTATTCGGATCCAAGAAGTGGAACCAAAGGCTGCAGATGCAGCACCCGTGCAGGGGGCTGAACACGAGAGTTTTGAGACAGAACTTATGGCTCATGAGGCAGAACTCTTGGCTCGAGAAGCTGCACCCCACACTCACACTGCTGCCAAACAGGAACCCAACGAGCAAGAACCCCAAGAAGAATCCCTTAAGGAACAAGATCCAGTTGCAAATTTGGAAGATAATCGTAAGAAAAATCAGGATTTGAAGTTCTTGGCTATGTTTGAGGAGGTGCATGACCCTGACTGCAGCTGTGTTGAATGTGACCTGCTCGATGTGACACTGATGCCCAAGCAAGGCACACCCCCCAAGGAACAGAATCTCAACTACTTCGAGGCGATTGAAGAGCAGCATGACCCTGACTGCATGTGATCTCCTGGATGTTTGACACTGGTGTCCTAAAAAAAAAATATTGTATTTTTGCTGCTCACTATAATTATATGCAATGCTGATCTCAGTTGGCCATCAAATTAGGTTTAAGTTTAAGTCCTTCAAAAGTTTCAATTGATTCGATTTTAAAATGTGGAAAAATTATGTGGCAGCACGTAACCACAGCAAGTATCAGCAGCTGGTCGGCAGGTCGCTACGCCTCACTCCGCGACGTAGTTATGCCGAAACAAAGATTGTGCATCTGCCCATGGGTCGTGTGAAGGGTCGCCGACAGTGTGGCATCTACGGCGATCCATTCTACAGCTTTGAGGGCATTCCATTCGGCAAACCACCGCTGGGTGAGCTGCGTTTTGCTGCACCAGAGCCTGCAGAGCCGTGGACAGACCAGGAGCTAGACGCGCAACAGGAGCGGGATATACCCTTGCAAATGGAGTACTCAGGAGGCAAGACCATTGGCAGTGAGGATTGCCTTTATTTGAATGTGTACACCAAGCATGTGAGTGGAGGAGCAGCAGATCTGAATCCCCCTTCAGCAAATTCTTTCTCTCTCTTTCAGTTTGATAAAACAAAGCCTCCTCTGCCCGTCATGGTCTACATCTATGGCGGTGCCTTTCGCACTGGCGGTGCCACTCGAAACAAGTACGGTCCGGATTATTTAATGGCCAAGGACATTGTGTACGTAATATTCAACTATCGACTGTGCGCTCTCGGATTTCTCAGTCTGCCCAGCATCGAATCGAATGTGCCTGGCAATGCGGGACTGCACGATCAACTGCTGGCCCTCAAGTGGATCAAGCAGCACATTCAACACTTCAATGGTGATGCGGAGAACATTACGCTCTTTGGCGAGAGTGCTGGGGCTGTGGGCGTGCATTTTATGATGTGCCTGCCGCAGGCCACGTGCCTCTTCCACAAGGCTATCATGATGTCTGGCTCCATACTGGCTCCCTGGGTACAGATACCCGATCGTGCCTGTTTGTACTCCCAATTGGCACTGTCCGCTGGCTATGTGGGACCACGCAGGGAGAAGGATATGCTGCGGTACCTTCGCTGGTTGGAGGCCAACAAATTGCTGGAATATGCTCACAATTTCTTCACCTTTCACGATCGATGCTTTGGCTTTCTGTATCCCTTTGTGCCCGGCGTGGAGGATGCCAAGTGCGAGAGTGGTCTGGTGCAGCAGCCATATCTGGAGTTGATGCGGGATGCCTGGTCCGTAAAGGTGCCCCTGCTGCTGGGCGGCACCTCCTTCGAGGGCTTGGTCTACTATCCCTTCTGCAAGCTGAACAATGGCTTTATGCTGGAGCTGCTCAAGCAGGAACCAGCGTTGGTGCTGCCCCATGAGCTGTTCCTCTCGATGTCCGATGAGGTGCGTGAGACTAAAGCTAAGGAACTCGTTAAATATCACTATGGACCCCGGGGAATAACCAAAAACAATGTGACACAGGTTTTAGATGTGAGTAGTCATCGAACTTTAGCCTAGATATTTTTCTAGTGCCCTTTTCTTGCAGCTCTTCAGCTACAAACTCTTTTGGCATGGCCTGCATCGCGTCGTGCGCTCTCGATTGGCCCATGCCCAGGCATCCACCTATCTGTACCGCTTCGATTTTGATTCTCCGAGCTTCAATCTAATGCGTAATAAATTATGCGGCGATGACATCAAGCGGGGTGTCTGTCATGCCGATGACATGGGCTATGTCTTTCACAAGAAGGGCGTACAGAAGCTGCCGCTGGATTCTGCTGAATACCTCACGATACAAAGAATGGTGGGCATTCTGACAGCCTTTGCTCAGACTGGAGATCCCAACTGTTGTGAAACGGAGGGAGAGGACTGGTCACCAGTCACCACAAAGTTGCCCTATAGGGCTTTGAATATAGGCCATGAGCTGGAGTTTATAACGCAGTACGAAAAGGATGGCCTGGAAGTGTGGAATCGTTTGTATGATAATGAAATTACACTTTATGGTAGCTAAAAAGGGCATAAATAAAGGGAACAATTATGTTCCTGAAAGTATTCTACATTTAAGAGTGCCTTAAGGTAGATGATTTTCCATCAATATTGCTGAAAATTGCAGTAACAATTATTCGTATCCATTATGTGTCAAAATTTCTTTATTTTAAGATAATTATCATAGAACTTATAGATTTTATTTTATTTATCATAAGCCGTACACTTTCAGAGCGTAAAATGCTGTCCAAGTGGCTTAAAGCACTCTTCCGCAAGCTTTTCCGCAGCTTTTGCGCCATCTCCGAGCTTCTGGCCGAGCGGTGAGTACAATTTAGCCCATAAAATTGTGTTCGTTTTGTTTACATTGCTCGTACTTTTTTTTGCCGGCACGATCACAGTGTTGCTTGGGTGCTGACGCTGACGTTGACCCAAAACACACCACCCAATCAACAGACAACCGGCTTTTCGCCTGAGATTTCTGCCTACAGTGCAAAAAAATGCTTAGCTAATAAATATTTGAATTTTGTGCAGTGTTGATTCATTATGCATTCGCCTGAGGCGCGTCTAAAGAGGCGTTGTGCCCCCTCAGCCACACTAAAACCAAAGCTCTCCACAGCGCCACTCGGACAGGCCAGCCCACGCTTTCATCTTCTCCACGTTCTCCACGGCGCGGCGCTCAATGATCGGTTGTAGTTGTTACTGTGATTTTTGGATACCCTAGCTATGGCAGAGTGTACTGATTCTTTGGAAATGTTTGTTGCTCATTAGTTTGCTCTTATAAATTTTATAATAATTGAAATACCATTTCATTTCAAGGCTGAGAACAACATAAACTTGATGTGAGTATAACTTTGTTTTTACTCAAGATAATCCCACTAAACTTTATAAATATCATTGTAAACAATAACTTCGTTACTCAGAAAAACTTCATAAATATCCGATGACTATTTCTTATAGAAATAATCTAGTATATGACTCTGCAGCTCAACTATAACTACATATATTACTCAGAAAAAATTTATAAATATCCGATGACTATTTCTTATAGAAATAATCTAGTATATGTAGCGGTATCTGATACTTCGACTCTGCAGCTCTCTTTTTCTCCAGTTCTGGTTTCTGTTACTGCTGTTTTTGGTTTATCTCTCTGGCTCCGCACTTGAAAATACAATATCTGTTTTCTGCCTCTCTTTCTGCTCTCTCTCTCTCTCTTCCCCCGCTCGTTCTTCGCTCTTTTTTCTGTGTGTTTTTTTTTTTGTTTAATTTGTATTTCGATATTTGTGTTAATGTAGTATATTTTTTCTGCTTTTTTTTTTGCCACTTGTTTTCGCCTATTTTGCTGCTGGCTCGCTCTCATCGCCGGCTGGAATTCCATATGAAAAAGTTTGTTTTTAATTTCAGTTTCAGTTTGTCGCTGAAACGCAACGGAACGCATTTTGTAGATTCGTGGATCCGGTGGAAGATCTAATTATAGAATAAAAACTGATCGGTTCGTCGTTTATGGTTAACTAGACCGTCCGTCGCAATATGAACAAGAACCTCGGCTTTGTGGAGCGCCTCCGATGGCGCCTCAAGTGAGTAGCGAAATGTTTGACCTTAATCCAAATACGAGTAGTTATCACTATATTTAATTATTCTTTATTAATGTCGGGGGAGTCTGCATTACACGTAGTATTATTGTTACTATTTTTGCTAGTCTTGCGGTTAGCTTTTGTCAATTTTGTTGTGTGGTTTCGTGTTATTTTGCGCGATCGGCGCTTTTTAACAATTCTCGTTATTTGTCAGGCATGACTAACGCTGTGGGATGGCAGGAATTAATAATATTTAGTGATCTAATTGAGGTTTTTTTTTGTCTGCGGTGTTTGAAAGATTAAACGTTGAAGCATGACGCAAACTGGAGGGCATATCGAATATAGAAAATGACTTAGATCATCATTTACTGGCATTTGAGGGCTGGAAATTTAACTAAGATTACGTTTGTAGTATTTAAAACAATTTTTAATTAACTTTTAAGCAATATTAAACATTAATTTTGTATGGAAAACTAGAGACAACGAAGTAACAGAATTTTTAAATCTTTTTAAAAATGTTTAGAGAAATTGTATGACTAGAACGAACGAACCATAATTGAAGCTAGCCAAACGGCTGAAACAATCCCATTGACAAACAATTGTAAGCAAATTTTGCAAGTAATTTTGATTTTTATTACCCAAATCATTCAGCGATAAATCCAATCCAATTCAGTCCATAAATCCAAACATTTCAATATATTACCAAACGAATCATACGAAAACTTTCTCCAATAATGCGAAAAAGTTTTTATGTCTGCGGCTGTAAAAATGTCACATATTAGCATTAATTCATAAAATGGTTTTACTTATTGCTGGAATCAGTTTAACGTGTAAGATTTATGACCCATAGGTTCTTAAGGTCTGAACGTTAATTGCGCAACTGTTTCTATAATCAATATAGTAATGACTTTGCATAAATAAATGGCTACTTATTTATTATATATTTTCGCGTACTTTGTTTTGTAACTGAAGACGTTGTTTATCTGTAAATAGAATATCATTATAGCGCTGCACCCAGAACATTGAAACACTCCCAAGTACAAAGCAAACATTTGATTAAATTGTGAAATCAGAATTAATTTCCAGTGATAATTATTTAATTTTTCAAGTTATCACAGTCCCACAGTCTCCCCTATAGTTCTTATCAGTGCATAACCTTGATATTGTAGTCGATTATCGCATTTGAAACATTTTTTCTTCCCCTACCCTTTATTTCCTTTGCCAATTTAAATGGCAAATTAAAATTGTATCAGATTGACAGCTAAAATAGGTGTGATTTTATTTTGTAATGTAATTAAAATTAAACTCAGTCTGACGTGAGGGCTGCGTATAATTATGAACAAATTTTTATATTAACTTGATTATTCATATTTCCGTACACATACACATAATATAATTTGTGTGCAGGCTAATAATTTCCAATTAATGTTTATTTTTATACATCAGACAGACCTCCACAGAGTACAATCGCATGATTGCAATTTAATTTTTTTTAAATAAAAGTAAAGCAATTAAGTCTACTTAAGAGCTCTCTCTGTGGACTGATAACACAGTGACAGCAGCAGCAGTGACAGATAAGAGAGAGCGTAGGAACAATGGCTTATGGTTATAATATATTCACAAGATTATGCATTATTTTGTGTTGGTGTGTGGAGTCCAAAGGGGTATGCAAAATGATTTAGAAACTCTCTAGGAATTTCAATGGCTTTAAATTTTGTTGCCAAAATATAGTCAGCAGAGTGTCTGTTAATTTATCACTGACAGGCGTGCCTGGGTTAGCAGGTGGACCACAAAATACAGACAACTGGAAGCTGGAGTGCCTGCCACTGTAGCTGTGTGTGTATCTGATGGGATGGGCAGACAGCAAAACAATTTAAATTTAATGCAATGCCTGCAGTGTGCCACCCTCCCCCCTCCCGACAGCCACTGGAATGTGGGCATTGAGAACGAATTAAAATAATTGACTCTGTGACAAAAATATCAAATTATCCACCCACCGGATCCAATATTGTTATGCTAATTATAGTACACTAGTACAGGGCATTCATTCTACTATTCTCTCTCTCTCTCCCACTCTCCCTGTCTCGTACATTTTGCAGAACCATCGAGCATAAACTTCAGCAGTATCGTCAGACCACCAATGAGACCATTGTTGCCGACACCGAGTATGGTAAAGTGAGGGGCCTGAAGCGTCTGTCCATGTACGATGTGCCCTACTTCAGCTTCGAGGGCATACCCTATGCCCAGCCACCCGTTGGTGAGCTGCGTTTCAGGGCACCACAGCGACCCACCCCATGGGAGGGGGAAAGGGATTGTAGTCAGGCCAGGGATAAGTCCGTCCAGGTGCAATTTGTTTTCGATAAGGTCGAGGGCTCTGAGGATTGCCTGTATTTGAATGTCTATACGAATAATGTGAGTAGTAAATTAATATTTGATTTGGTTTCCATGATTATTGCCACACAAAAACTCATATAACTCATATCTCCCTCCATCCCCCCAAGGTGAACCCCGGTAAGCCACGTCCTGTTATGGTTTGGATACATGGCGGTGGCTTCATCATTGGCGAGGCCAATAGGGAATGGTATGGTCCGGACTATCTAATCAAGGAAGATGTTGTGCTGGTCACCATACAATATCGTCTGGGAGCCTTGGGTAAGCGAAATACATTTCCAAAAAGGATTTTTATTTAATTTTTGTACATTCTTTTTCAAGGTTTCCTTAGTTTAAAGTCCCCTGAGCTGAATGTGCCTGGCAATGCGGGCCTCAAGGATCAGGTGTTGGCCCTCAAATGGATCAAAAATAATTGCGCCAACTTTGGTGGCGATCCCAATTGCATCACTGTGTTTGGAGAGAGTGCCGGAGGTGCGTCCACCCACTATATGATGATCACCGATCAAACGCAGGGCCTTTTCCAACGCGGCATCCTGCAGTCGGGCAGTGCCATCGCACCATGGGCCTACAATGGCGACATCACCCATAATCCCTATAGAATAGCAAAACTGGCTGGCTACAAAGGCGAGGATAAGGACAAGGAGGTGCTGGAGTTTTTGCAGAATGTCAAGGCCAAAGATTTGATACGTGTGGAGGAGAATGTACTCACGTTGGAGGATCGTATGAATAAGATTATGTTTGCCTTTGGACCATCGCTGGAGCCGTATGTAACCGCCGATTGTGTGGTGCCCAAGGCGCCCATCGAAATGATGAAGACCGCCTGGAGCAATAGCATACCCATGCTGATAGGAAATACTTCTTACGAGGGTCTCCTGTGGCTGCCAGGTAGGGTATTCCCTTTCTATAGAAAGTCTTGCAATGACTTTGTAATTTGTATTTTTTGTTGGTTTTTGTTAGAGGTTAAAATGCTGCCACAAACTGTGCAGCAAGTGGATGCTGGTGCGCCCTTTATACCACGTGAATTGCTTGCCACGGAGCCCGCGAAAGAAAAGATTGAGCTGTGGAGCTCCAAAATACGAGATGCACATCGCACTGGGGATGCTGCCAGCGCTGATAACTATATGGATGTAAGCTATTCCCATCTTTAACTGAATTTCCTATTAATTTTTGTGCTTTTCAGTTGTGTTCCATCTATTACTTTGTCTTTCCTGCGCTGCGTGTCGTTCACTCGCGTCATGCCCATGCCGCTGGCGCTCCTGTGTACTTTTATCGCTATGATTTCGATTCCGAAGAGATCATATTCCCCTATAGGCTTATGCGCATGGGTCGTGGCGTCAAGGGTGTGAGCCATGCCGATGAATTGGGCTATCAGTTCAGCAGTCTGCTGGCCCGTCGTCTGCCCAAGGACAGCAGGGAATACCGAAACATAGAGCGAACTGTTGGCATATGGACACAGTTTGCGGCAACGGGTAATCCGTATAGTGAGAAGATCAATGGCATGGATACGCTCACATGGGATCCAGTGCGCAAATCCGATGAGGTCTTCAAGTGTCTAAATATTAGCGATGAACTTAAGAGCATTGAATTGCCCGAGTGGCCCAAACTTAAGGTGTGGCAGAGCCTTTACGCGGACAATAAGGAGCTGCTCTTCTGAGCAGCGAGTCCCAGTGCAGAGGGGTATATCTTATAGCACGTTTAGTATCTGGTATGGACAGATATAAAAATATAGTTAAATGGAATGTGGCACAATCCTTAAAGTTAACAATTTCTTTGTGTGTGTTTTCCTGGACTTTGCTGTCAGGCTTTGTTCGATTAGCTTCAATCCCACAACTTTATTTCAGTCTCCCCTTTCCCAGTTCTAATTTATTCTCGGACTAGCAAACATCTTTTCGTATTTTTTTTTTTTAACTTTGGAAATTCTTAACCTTTGTTTCGATAAAAACAATTTTTACCCACCCTCACCAAAAATGAGTGCCTCACGTCGTTTGACACGGGAGCTGGCCGATCTGCTTGAATCTGGCAAAAAGAAAACTTGGTGCAACATTCAGGCCAGCGATGAATCCATAATGGTGTGGAAGATTCTGCTGGTGCCAGAGCGTCCGCCCTACAATAAGGGTGCCTTTCGCATTGAGGTGAACTTTCCCGACGAGTATCCCTTCCAGCCACCCAAGGTCATCTTCAAAACGAAGATCTATCATCCCAACATCGATGAGAAGGGCCTGGTGTGCCTGCCCATCATTAATTCGGACAACTGGAAGCCCACAACCAGCACAGAGAAGATTCTGGAGGCACTGGTGGGCATCCTGCATGAACCAGAGCCACAGCATCCGCTGCGCGTCGATGTGGCCGAGGAGTTTGTCACCGATCACAAGAAGTTCATGAAGAATGCGGAGGAGTTTACCAAAAAGAATGCCGAGAAGCGTCCATCATAGGCGTCAACAGTGCTGGGAAAAAAATCGTATTTGTTTTAGTCCGAAAATTGTCAAAATTATAAAATTGCTTAAAGCTTAAAACAAAAATTGTATACATATAAAGTACAGCTTCACATTTCTATCTTTTAATGCTGATTATCTTGGTTCGAAGTGGTTTATTAATGTGTATCTACCAGAGTGCATGTGCATTGCTCTGTTGGGCTGCTTATTCCATAATTTATAGCCCAGCTTGGACACAGGTCTCTACTCTCACTGCCAATGGCAGTTTGGGGGCCATCATTTAACATTTAATGTGCCTGTGGACACTCCACGAGCAACCTATCTAATTGAAAATTCATTAAAATCAGGTGATGAGCCTTCTGGAGGAGCCAGGGCCTAGAACCTATCGAAGGTCTAAATAAATTATCAACTAAACAAGTTTCAGTTTGGTACTGAACAACAAGGAAATTCTATCGCTTACTTGACGATTAATTGACCAATTAAATAATATATGAATATAAAAAAAATAAATGCAAACAGTGCTGCAATATATATACACACGAGTTTATAGTAAAAATAGTTAGCTGGTTATACAGTTAAGTTGTTTCAAACACGTTAGATGGCGTGCTAGAACCGGGCAATGACACAATAATTACTCTCTATAACTATACTATAATTTAGACAACGCTTTTCCCGTGATATTTTTTGCAGTTTGTTTTGTGTTTTTTTTCTTAATAATATAATTTAGAGTATTGTTTTATAGTTATATTTGTATTGAGTTGAGCTTGTAGTAGTTTGTGGAGTGACTTTGGATATTAAATAATTTTTCTCTACTTTTGATTTTATTTAATAATTTAGCGAACGATTTTCTGGAGCTATTTTTGTGATAGTCAACAATACTATTTTGCAGTACTTTTCCTGAACTTGTTCTGCATTTTTTTACTTGGGGAATTATTTTCTAAAAATATTGCGTATTTAAAAAAGCTAAAGCAATAGTTTATCTATATTAATCCACCATGTTATGGTTGTTAGATACTGTTTCTTACCAATATTTCCAATAGTTTGTGACTCCAGTAATTTGTGGAGTGTTTTTGTGATGGTCAACGCATTTGCTGTATCGTTTTCGTATAATCTGATGGCCTGTAATTATTTAATTCACTGATATTATCGCCAGTTACTTAGTTAATTGCATTATATAGTAAAAAAAACTTAAGGGCAGTCTATTTGTACTCAATGGCACTCAATGGAAATAATTGTAATGCTCGAGTAATCTAGTTTAATTGGAACGCATGGAAAATGTGCCTTTTGAGCTACAATGCAGTTTAATTAATAGTTTTCTCAGTTGCTAGCCAGAGATGTTCTGTTTTCCGCACAAACATAAACACGAGCCCCCCCCCCTAAACCTAAACCAAAATTCAGACAGAACAAACACACTGGAAAATAACAATAATTATAACAATAGGAATATAGCAATGCTGATAGGCGGGGGGACGGCACGGACACCAGTGAAATATGCTATAAACAATAAACAAAACAAGCAGCAACAAAAACGATAACGTTTAAACAAAACAACGGCGCCCAGCATGGACAGCAGGCGAATACACTCGACCACACCAGACACAGGCATTCATTCTGAGTGCAAAACACAGACAGAGACAGAGACACATGCAAAAGCCCTCACACAAGCAATACACACACACACAGCTATGCAAAACCCTCACACACACTCAGGCACGCACACAAGCGGCGTCGGGCTAGAGCTAGAATATCACTCATACGACCCCATAGCCGGCATAAAATGAGCAAATGAGTGGAAAAATCATCAACAACAACAGCGACAGCAGCGACAGAGGCGACGGCAACGAAACACTAAACTTAGCCGGCGCTTACTTGAAAATGTTCAGTTGCCGACCAGCCCCTGAACAAAACGCAACGAAAGCCTTAGGCTATTCCCCAGAGCTGGCATATATATTTTCAAGCCCCACTACTTCCCGCCCACCAATGTCAATATGTGTTGCTGAGTTTTTCAATTAAAAAGAATAACTGAAAGTGGAACAACAAAAGCAACAATAAAAAAGCAACAAGTAATGTGACATGCTGTGTGTTTCTCTGTGTGTATGTGAATATCGGGAAAAACAATTCTAAAACATAAATAATAAAAGTTTAAAAAAATCAAAAAAACTATTTCGCGCCAGGATTTTTCGCCCTGTTGTCGTCCAGTCGTTTATTTTAGAGATTTTTTCTTATTTTAATTCGGTTTAGTTACGCGTTTTGTGCTGCGTTTATTTTCCCTGGCATTTCCAACAGCTTGCGGATTGTATTTTATAGTTTGGCACGCTTTTATAAACGCGACATATTCCATATATATATATATATATATATACAATATACCCAGAAGGGAATCGATTGGCCATAGAGCAGCGTGAGACCACAGCAAGATGTCATTCGATATAGCGGTGGCCGATCAGATGCGCATTGCCTTGAAGTAAGTTTTTTTTGTTTTTATTGAATTCCAATATTTCTCGTTGCATTTCCTGATTGATTACTTATAGATGCAAATAGATTTATGCATAAATCAAGCCATGTAGGCCAATCTCATGTCATTGATTGAATCTGACTATAAGTCGCTCTTTCCTTTCCATAGTTCGTTCCATGACCATATGCTGTACATGGCTCAAGTACATAGAAACACACACTATTTTTGTTCTTTTTAATATTTGATAAGCCGCCAAGTCCGGCCCTGCCAATGGAGCACTTTCTTATCAAGAGATTACAGGCTGGCTGTTGCTACATCTGCACCGACTTGGTGTCGAAAATCCGGTTCATCATTAGGGGTCTTATAAATAGCCGTAAAGCTGTCGTTGATAAGACTCGGCTATCATATACAGTCATACAGTCATATTAAGTATCCGCATCTTCGTCTGCCACTCAAAACGTCATTGCTTCAAAGTCTAGCCAAAGGCTGATTGCCAAAAAAACAAAAAAAAATACATCTCAGAATGATCAGCAAAGCAGCAGACCAGCAGACATCTTGTCACGAAATGTACCTTGTACTTTGAGGGATCGCAGCGACGCAGCTCTTGAAGAGCTACCTAAACCCGACGCTGATAGAATTTGTGCTTTGTTTGCATTATTAATTATAAATTATTATCAATATCAGACATGGGGACCAGACCGATAAGATTTTAAACAGCCCTGGCTTAACGTTAAAGTGCTACCCCACTAATGTGACTTTCCAGGTGCGTCAGTCCATGGGATTGTTTAACTGTTTTACTGCCTAGTGATATAATTCAGGGGCTTGCTGCTGCGGCTGACCTTATCAGCTAACTTATTTGTGAAATTGAATTAATTTGTGTACATACACAAGTACCTGATGATAAAATATAATGGGAAACTCTGGTGAAATTCTTTGCGGCCAGACTCACGTTTTGCGGTAAATGTCAAGGCAATAATCAAGACTTTTTGCAAACTCTGCTGAAAAGTTGAATAATAAACAAAAATTGAGAAGCCGAAACGAGAAGTAACAAAAAATGTACATTAAATGAAGAAGCAAAAACGTTAAGCAAACACTAAGAAAAAATCAAAGAAAAATACGCGAATGCACCTACAATTTTTTTAAAATTTGTGTCATGAATGATAATGCACAGAGCCATTTTTCCACTATTTAATTTGTTAAAACAATTTTGAAATAAATTTAACAATCGTTTTTCCTCTCCAAAAATATTGCAATTTAATTCCACTCACAAAATGCAGAATGTTCCTATCTTTTTTTTCACCTTACAAGTTTGTTTATTTTTTCAATAGCCCTAAACAATTACGAGTATTCGACTAAAAATATTGCACAAATATTTTACTCAATTTTCAACAGATAAAAAAGAACCTAATGATATGAAAAATAAATATAGTGTGTGCTTTCTCTCTCGATGTATTCGAATATCAATGACTGGCTATAATTTCTGCTGCTGTTGCTGCTGCTGTTGCTGCTGCTTCTGCATCACTTTACACATGGATGCATGAATTTGATAAATGGCAAAAATATTGAATATTATATTTTCTTGGTTTTCTTTGATGGGAAAATACGATATATTATATTGAATATGCACTCAAGCAAAATGCCATTGACCTGCAAGGCCCAACAAGATGCCATGATGCATTGGGATATTGATTGATTTTGCTGAAAATTTCCATTTCAATTTCGATTTTTCCTTTCAAATGGATTTTAATTTGTAAATATTTTGGATATGCCACTGTACAGTTCCGCTGTTTATTTTCCTAAAAGCATATAAAATGCTTGTAGAATTGTTTTAAGATTTCCTAAATTTGTTAATTGTGATTCGGCAACAATTGCTGCTCTGACAAATTACTGCTGTTTGATTACCCGCGTATGTCCATGTGGAATACTTATATTATATGACCCGTCTCTCGTATAAAAATGGTATAATATAATTCACAAACAAACAATAACAGGTTCTCGTGCTTCTAGAGTTATGTATGTATTTATTATTCAACAACTGGAATCTTAGGGCTTGACCTCGATCCGCTTGGAAACTTACAATTAGCACTGGATGTCTAACAATTCACACCAATTGCAGTTCGTATACGTTTGTCTGGAATCCCCCATCAAGGTTTGGCCCCCTAGACCACAGAAAATAGTCAAAAGACGCCGGGCAGCTGTTAATTAATTGTTTGCCGCGTTTGTGGCAACCCATGATTTGTGCTCATCATATCGGACAACGCGTCCGCGTCTACTTTTTACTATGTACGATAGAACTTCTATCATAGAATATTCTACAATTTTGCAGCCAACGAAAATTTGCTGTTTCGGTCTGTTGTGGATCGGCTCACGCGTCGTTTAGAGCGCACGTTTCTAAATGGAAACGCACTTGAAATTTAAATGGGGCACGCCTCCATTGGAATACTTTTGGGTATTTTGTGATGCTAGTTGCAAATACTCATTAATAATGGTATGCCAATGGGTAGTGCTGGTTTGATGGAAACGTTTGGTCTCTTGAGAGAACATGGGTTGTACTTTACTTAAAAAAGTTATTCCTGGAAACTCTGCCAAGGTTTTATTTTTATTAATTTTATATAGGAACTCCCCAGTTCCATAGGGGTTTTGTTTAAATCAAATGAGCGGTTTAGCCCATGCAAGCTGAATTAAAATTTATGTTTTTTTTTTTTTAGTAATTTTTGTCGATTTCCTTTAGTTTAAATACATATAGGGCATCGCTCAGTTCCTATGCCATTCTATTTTAACTCTTTGGCTATTTATAGTTTTTGTTTTGTTTGCGCGCTAATTGAAAATTCGCAAAAAATACTAGAAAACGTTCAAGTACTCGCATTTGTTTATAAACAAAACAAAACAAAAAAAAAAAGAAAGGAAATGAAATGAAAGGAAAGGGATACGAGACCCCAAAAGCACTTAGTATATTGAGCGAGAGTGTGAGAGGTGTGTGTAGCTGTAGCTGTATTAATCTGTATCTGTGTATTTGCCCACTTTCATTGCAGCTATGTGAAGTTCAAGACGAATCAACAGCGCCTACGGAGCAATGACAAGGTAATTGCCGACACCGTCTATGGCAAGGTGAAGGGCGTCAAGTGGCAGTCGATCTATGGGAACAATTACTACAGCTTTGAGGGCATTCCATTTGCCAAGCCACCGGTGGGTGAGCTGCGCTTTAAGGCGCCCGTGGAGCCTGACCATTGGCCGGAGGTGAAGCGATGCACCAGGGTACGCTCCAAGCCGTGTCAGGTGAACATTGTGATGAAACTGGTGCAGGGTAGCGAGGATTGTCTGTACCTTAATGTGTATACCAGAGATGTGAGTGCGAATTAACGATGTTTAATCGATAAAATATTAATTAAGCCTTCTTTTTCCCCTTCAGTTGCACCCCAATAAACCTGTGCCAGTGCTCGTGTGGATCTATGGCGGTGGCTTTCAAATGGGCGAAGCCTCAAGGGATCTCTACAGTCCCGACTACATCATGATGGAGCATGTGGTCCTGGTTGTCATATCCTATCGGCTTGGTGCCCTGGGATTTCTCAGTCTCGACGATAAAGAGCTGGATGTGCCCGGCAATGCGGGCCTAAAGGATCAAGTCATGGCCCTGCGTTGGGTCAAGCGGAATTGTCAGTTCTTTGGCGGCGATCCAGAGAATATCACAGTCTTTGGGGAGAGTGCAGGCGGAGCGTCCACCCACTACATGATGCTGACGGAACAGACCCGCAATCTCTTCCACAAGACTGTGATCATGTCGGGTGCGGCATTGGCCCCTTGGGCACAGACACCGATGCATATCAATTGGGCATATCGCTTGGCCCAGGCCACCGGCTACTCCGGGGAGCTTAACGATCGCCAGGTATTTGCTCATCTCAAGAAATGCAAGGCCAGCAGCCTGCTGAAGGTGGCCGACGATATCATCACCATGGAGGAGCGCCATCAGCGCCTGACCATGTTCTGCTTTGGACCCAGCATCGAACCCTATGAAACGGATCATTGTGTGATACCCAAGTCGCCGCTGGAGATGATGCGCAACTGTTGGGGCAACAGCATTCCCATGGTCATTGGCGGCAACTCCTTTGAGGGTCTGCTGATGTTTCCCGAGGTAAACAAGTGGCCGGAGTTGCTGTGCCAGCTGGGCGATTGTGAGCATTTGGCTCCCAAGGATGCGCAGCTGGACAAGGAGCAGCAGCGGTTCTTTGGCAAGCAGCTGAGGGAAACCTATTTTGGCGATAGAAAACCCAGTCGTGACACTATTCTGGAGTACAGTGATGTAAGTGGGCAACAAGGAATAATTACTGCAATTTTTCTATATTTTTTGATAATTTTTTTTTACCCTTAACACCCGTAATAATCACCCTCTTTTTATGCTCTGCTCTTTTTCGATTGCAGCTCTTTTCGTACAAATATTTTTGGCATGGCATTCAAAGGACATTGCTCTCGCGTGCCCATTACGCTCCAGAGGCGCCCACGTATCTGTATCGCTTTGACTTTGACTCAAAACACTTCAACATCATGAGGATTATCACCTGTGGCCGCAAGGTGCGAGGCACATGTCATGCCGATGATTTGTCGTATTTGTTCTACAATGCGGCAGCAAAGAAACTAAAGCGACGCACGGCCGAATTCAAGACGATAAAACGTCTGGTGTCCATGGTGGTGCAGTTTGCCATATGCGGCGATCCCAATATACCGCTGGTCACGCACGATGAAAAACAGCAGCCGTGCCTGCCACAGGGCACAGTCAACGGCACATCCACAGCCACCTGGTTGCCCATTTCGCGTGAGGATGCGGTGTTCAAGTGCCTGAATATATCGCATGATGTGCAGGTGATTGATTTGCCAGAGGCCGAAAAGTTGCGGCTCTGGGATAGCATCTATGACAGGCGACTCTTGTACTGAATCACACATTCTGTTGCCCCCTCAAACTCTCAGGCAGCTTTGCTGCTTATTTACCCTTAGCAATCCGTAGGCCTTAGATATAGTCATAGCCGTAGCAGAAGCAGTAGCCCCTAAGCCGGCCCTGAAGCGGCCTTAAAAGCATATCAAATGTACATATGTAAATAGCGATTTTTTTATGGCTTAGCCTTAAGAGTAAATACAAAAAGAAACATACAAAAAAAAATACTGTAAACAAGATTAGGCAAATATTTTGTTTGGCTACAAATTTTCGTTGGCTATCATCAAATGCAACAAAAAAGTCTTTTGGTGAGCAGGGGAATTAATATTTTGTGTATTTTGGGCTTGAATATTGTAAATGAATATTATTTTTAAGGACTGATTTGTTAGAAGAAAAAACATGTGTTAAATGTATTGTTAGCAATATGAATAAAAGTTTTTGGTATAAGCTAGATGCTTAATAAGCGTTTGATTTATTTTGGGTTTCACGGTACACAGTTATAAAATCTTTTTCCACTTCATAAATTAGAGAGAGATTCTTCTTTACTATCTTTAAATAAATTGCAAAGTTTTAAAGTTTTCTAGCAGCAAAATTTAAAGGAACTTTGTCCAGTTACTGATATATTTTTAGCTGTAACGAACGAACTCTCAACGCTTGGTTTCATATCGAAAAACTAAGCCGATTAACCCTGCCCTAAGCTTTAACTTAACAAAGGCCACACATTGATCTGATTATGCACGGGGAATCGGGAATCTACATATATAGTAGGCATACTCTCCAATACACGTGTAGGTCACTGTCTAATCACGCTTGTGTGAGTTTTTGGGTTATACCCCGGTAAGCAAAGCTCCCGCCATAAAGTATGCAACGCGTTATGATATTAAAAATACTTAAATGCTCAAACATGACAATATTAACACCTGCCCACAAACACACACACACGCACACTTACAAAAAAACACACACAGAGCCACACATACAATAGATACATATGAGTGCTGTCAAGCGACAAAACCAAAAGCCTGCGAACACCTGTCCCCTTTACTCTTGTCATACTGTATCGTGGAGGGTTTTAGATGCGATGCTTGTGTCTATGGCAACTTCAAAGACCGCTTAAAACACAATGAACACAAGCATACACACACAGACACATACAGTCGATCCTGTACAGTGTACACTCCCGCATCTACCCCAGCTTGTCAACCATTAATTGTAATTAAAAACTTACACGTGCTTCACATTTAGGGAGCCCGGCAGCAACTCGGCATCCGTTGACCTTTGCCCCAAACATGATTTTATTTTGTTGGGGTGAGGTTTCTTTTTGTTTTGTTTTTTAATTTTGTATTTCTTTTTCGGCATTTTATTTATGTTTTGTAATACTGTAATTATTATTTACAGGTGCTTAGCAAAATTTGCTGGAAATTTGTGCGTTTTACTTGGGCGGTTGTGGCGGCTTTTTGGGGGATGACTGAATATCATGTTTGGAATTTCAGTGGCAGCCGCAAAGTATGCAATGGTTTCGGGTGAATATTTTGTGTACGCTTAATGCTGGGAAATCCCCTCAACAAAAATGTTTCATTGCAAAGTTTTGTGTGTAAATATGTGAGCAGCATAAGCAGCAACGTATTTAATGTGAATCTTAAGGGAAAACTAGTTGGTTGAAGCCAAGAGTGTGTTGCTCTGTTGCTAGCAGCCACAATTTATGAATGTCCAAGCCTTAAAAGTCACTCACTGGGCATTCATAGTATATCCCGCTTTAAGTGGGTCAAAATGGGTCTCATCCCCAAACTTAAGTGTTCTACTCTTTTAAACTCAAGCAAATTGATCAAAAAAGTTAGCTGTAAGCCTTTTCAGACCTCATCTTTTATTTCAATACCCCTTTAAAAGCAATACTTTCACCACCACACAGACGACGTGTAAGCCATGTGTGTGTGTGTGTGTTAAACTGTGTCAAAAGTTTATTTTTTGTTTTGAATTTTTAAAATCAGAGACAGTAATAGTGTCTGTGTGTCACGTGCATAGGTCGATAGAATGCGAATGGTGAACTCTACATACGAGTAAATGGGGAAAAATCCAACCCCCAATTATCCCCAGGAAAACAACAAGGAGAACAACGTGAACAACAGGAATGGCGGCAACAACAAGGACGCATGTAATCAAGTCACGAAATGGCATGGAAAAGTCACGCGAGCAGCCGGAAAATTATGACTTCTTGCCAAAGGAGCGAACACAGGAAGAGGAGGAGTGTGAGGAGTGAGTGGCGGGGTGCGGGCATCCTGATGAGTATGGGGTGTGGCAGGCGTCCATTTGATTTGATTTGCCTTTGAAAAATTCATGAGGCAATTGTTGCGCGGCGCGAAATGCTTATGATTATCATGTGCGACTCGAAGCCAACCCTGAACACGGGCATGGCACGGCACGATGGGTGCCTTGGCTGCTGTTTCTGTTACCGGTTTTTGGACATTTGATATTCCATTTACATTTTCTTAGCCATGGTCCTTGGAGTCCCTAGAGCTGTTCCTGTTGTTGTTGTGGTGTTGGTGGGGGCAAACGCAAGTTGTAAGATTAACGGAAATGAATTTTTAATTTATTGGAATTGCTGGTTTCTGCTAAAAACATTTACTCACTGCCCCAACCAATTTTCCAGGGAAATCTGATTGAAGCACGCACAAATTTCTACCCCACATAAATATAAAACATTTGTTAAAGTTCAACAGTGGAAAAGTTTTTCGGGTGAAAATCGTGAGAAACTCACATGCCCCATCCATATGGCAAAACGTAAATACATAAAGCAATATTCCGAATTTTTGCAGAATTTTTGCTATTATTATTAAAAGGTTTTGCGCTTTTTTTTGGTTTTGCTGTGCTGCTGATTGCAATCAGTTTGGTTTAATCAAAATCATTTAAAATCTAACAATTGTGCGACAGAAATAGTCGTAGTCGCAAAAAGAAGAACTCTATCTAAATTGATTTAAATGAATTAAAGAACATAAAGCAGTAAAACGTGCCCGAAGAGCAGCCAGAGAACGCACGCGATCGTATGAGAGAGCAGAGCAGAGCAAGAGATCAAGAAAGCACAGAGAGGAAAAGCTCGCGCTTGCTCACTCACTCACTCAGCGCATGGCAACATGAGCGCCAAAAGTCACGAGAGTTTATATTACCCCCCTCAGCCAAGGTTATTTATTTAATGTATCATAAATAAAAGCAGAAACTGTCTACCATACACAGCATTCGCATTCACACTCACACATACATTCATATTCATATGCTCGTAGTTACTTATTAAGTCCAATCAACTTGAATACCAGACTAATCCAAGCCAAAACCAGAACTGACCACAACTTATGGTAATGTCTCGGGAAAGAACCAAACTTAATATATCACAAATCAAAGTAAACCTTTGACTGTTAAAAAGCTCTGCAAAAGCTATGGAAAAAGCCTTTTGAGCTTTTGTTCAACAGAAAGCTTTTTAATAGCAACAGGAGTCAGTCAGCAGCAACAGCAGCTCCTGCTCCTTGCAATCAGCTGTAACTGTGCGTGTTGTTGACTTTCCTTTCTTACTTTCCCTTATTTTGCTTTTTCCGCTTGATTTTGTTTGGGTTGCCTCAAGGGACATGGGCGGCGGCGCGTGTGACAGCTGAAACCACAACACAACAACATGCCCCACTTAAAATGAATGACTTTATCCGAGGCAATACAAAATTTCCTGGTATACGGCAGGGTCTAGAGTGGGAGAGATCATGGATATACATTTATTTGAGTTGCGATGAAGTCATAGGTAGTTTCAGGCTGAAAATGAAAGAATTATAAAAGAAGTCATCAAAGAAATAATTTTAGGAACTTTAGAAATATTTTATATCTAACTTTATTAGCTGAAAAACCTTGAAAATTGTACTCTTCGCATTTTATACAGATATAGACGATCTCAATAGTCTCAATTAAATAAGGGGGAACCCTTAAGGCTGCTTCCAGATACAATTTTCAAGTTTAAAATTAAAGAAATATGAAAGTATATTTGGTTTGAGAGTGTTAACCATAGAGTACCATGATAATCCCACGTATTGCTGCCCCTTGAGCACTAGACACTACTTGTTGTAGGTACTACTTAATGATAGTCTATGGAACCCCACACATGAGTGGGTACTTTCCCGTTTTGCCTAAGATCGATGGCAGATTCCTAGAAGTACTCCCTGCTGGAAGTACAATAAACTGACTCATTCGAAAAATTGGTTTCACACATTCTTATCACACGATGAGTGGGCCATAAAGATTAAACACATACGCCACATGTCCATCCATCGTCAAACAAAAAAAGAGACACGGTCACATGGAATTTCAGTGTCGAATCAGCAAAATCACAACTTGTTACCCCGCCACAGCCGTATCAATATGGGTTTTATTATCTACTATTTATTATTTTTTGTTGTTGTTGTTTTTGTAGGGGCACTGATAAAGCTCCTCATATGAGGAGCGGCACATCGATAAAGGCCGCAGGACAAAGTCGAAATTTTTTTGCCATGTAATTGCGAGTGTGACTCAAGTTCAATAGAAGAATGCCTCAATAAACATAATTGTGAGGCCTACTGAATTATAGATAACGTTGATAGATACGCCAGCCAGCCAGCCAGCCAACCACCCACTCACCTCATCTCACACGCAACGCATTGCAATCGTATCGCAATGCTTTTATGTTTGAGTGGGTAAAGCTTTTTTCGGTTCGTTTAGAACTTTTATAGCGCGTGCTTTTGCGCACAGTTGATGAGCTGCCTTCACGCCAAGCGGACGCGTAACGGCACCAAAAGCTGAACTGAATACAGAATCCGGACCCGACAAAGCACACACACTGCTCCACCGTTCCACCATCAACAACAAGCAACAAAACTATATATATATATCAAACTACTAATAAAAACCGACGAAAACGAGTAATAGTTGTGTGGTAGTATTCAAAGAATTTCAATCCCAAAAAAACGTTGACTGTTTTTCGCGTGTGTTAGTGTTATGTGTGATAAATGCTGTGGCGGAATCTGTGCTTTTTTCGCCGTGTAAATTATCCTGCGTGTACCTTAGCGCGTGTGTTTTTTTCCTGCTGTGCGGGAAAGGGGGTCGTTCATCCTGTGGGTGCTTTGTGATTGTGTTTGTGCGCAGGACATAAAAGCTTCTTATCAGTAGCAAAGCTACAGAGACTGTATTTTTGTTGATATACAACGCCAAGTCCTTGCAAGGCCACCAACCAAAAAAAAAACAAAAAATAAAACAGCTGGCAGTGGTACAACCAACCCTACACTTTTTGATACAAATAAAAGTAACTTTTGTAATATTTATAAAAGAACAACAAAAAAGAAATAAAAAATTTATAAATATAGAATAATAATAAATAGAAAAAAAAGAAGGAAAAACCAAATACAATATTTTTGATTGAATTTGAGCCCGGAACATAAGAGAACACCAAAATGTCTTCCATGGCTGCATTTGATCAGTTCAAAATTGGACTCAAGTAAGTTAAATATTATATTTTAAGCAATGACTATATTTAAAGTTAATAAGATCCCGCTTTGATATTGTGAATTTTCAATTAAATGGCTTGCCTTAACGTTTACCCAATTTAGGCAAGTCTCTCATCATTGGGACATGACATCAGCCACAATGCTGTCATCCAATCTAAGGCACTCTACACTATATTATTAAGTTGCACACCTCATGTAGGCCCCAGACCATATGTAGTTCTCTTGGGGCACACAATCCTCCAATGATGTATGCCTAAATTCAGCCTTTAGATCCTACCCACTTTGACGTCAATTCCCCTTGATGATCAGCAATTGCGAATTCTTTGAATTAGTTCTCGCTGATTGATGATGGGGGACGTGCCACTTCTCCCCCCTGCAAGAATGCGCCAAAAGATAAAGATATTCGTACTCATGTATTCCCTAAAGTCTACCGATAAGAATTTACTGGGTAAATCCGTATATATATTTTTACCCCTGTACATTTTTTCCCTGTGACGTTAGGCGCAGCTGGAAACAATTAAATTGCCTCAATATTAAAGCAACAGCTGCTGCTGCTGCTGCTGCGACAATCTCATATCTACCCCCAAGAGCTTGCTCGTCCTTGGGGTCCTACATGCGCATATATAATTATGTAAAAGTCAACAACAATAACCTGAGAGGGTATCCTTCCCCGGGGAGGGGTTGTGGACTCAAGCGCAGGCTTCTAATGACGGCGCATCGCCTTTCATTTGCGTTCTATTGATTCTAGGAAATTCTAGTTCTCGTCTTCATAATGAGCAAACACAGATACACACACAAACACGGGGACAATATTACACACACACACACAGATACAACCGCAGCGCCACAGCCACAGCTGTCTGTCATATGAGTCCGGTCTGGGGGTCTTTGGCTTTTTCTGTGCCGACACTTAAACTGCGCAAATAATTAGGTAGCAAAACTAGACCGCCGGCCCCTGCTCTCTCCTCTCTGCTCTCTCTCTCTCTCGTTGCGGGATGTACGGGTATGTAAATTATTCTATTGTGTAAAAACTATAGTAAGCCTAGCGCAGCAACAGCAGAACCAGGCTGACTCACAAATTGCAAAATAAACCTAAAAAGCGACAGGGCGAATGTTGTATGAGATCAGAGGCAGAAGCAGCGGCTTTGGCTGCCTAACTGGTTTGGTTTTTGCCGTCTCTCAGGCCCGTCGATAGGTCGATGATTTCATTAGTCGATTGATGGGAAAAGAAAACTTAAGATTAATGAAATTGGCTTCCCGCAAAATAGTTTGCTTCTATTGTTATTTTCAATGTTTCTTTGTTGCTGTTTGTGATGGTTGTGATGCTTTTTTTAAAATAAATGTATTATATTATACATGATTTTTTCTGTACATTTGCATTCTGCATTCATTTGCATATTTCAATTATTCTCTGTCTTTGATTTGTGACAGTTTGAAATGGCATATTCAAGCCCACATTCAATCCAATTTTGTGGCATAAATAAATTGCCAATTCTTATACAATGTATTTTCCATATTCATTGGCTAAATTGCCACCTCACAGAAACAATCTCGTTTGGGGGCATCTAAAATTATAATTTCGAATTGATCAAATGGACACTTTATTTATTGAACGAAAATCAATTTGGATTTCTGTCTTAATTGACACAACGAATTCATCTGTGGGAAAGCAATTAACCTTCAATTTGTGACAATATTTCAGCTGCTATCATTTAAAAGTCTTTTGTGCGGCACGTGCAGATATTTCTTGTGCATTCTTTGGCGAATGAAATTCTGATGCCAATCTTGATTCTTTACGAACATATCTCGGCTCATTCTAGTTCTAGTAGCCTTTTTCTATTCATTCAATCATTCCGATACAAGTAACAAAACACCGAACAAGGCAGAAAAATCTTATTTTTAGCCTTTCAACAAAAAAATTTAATTGGGCAACTGAAAAATATGCTGTTGACGCGTTTAAGTCACGCCCTGCCAGGACGTTCGTCAAGCGTTCTCTTGGGCCAGATCACAGGGCAGCGGGTATGGCAATCGACCAAGGTCATGTCGCTGCTGAACAAGAATCCTTGGACATTGCCATCGATGGGACGGGGCAAGTCTTTGATACCAAAGAAGCAACTACAGAATATGCTGCGACGGGACTATTCACGTGAGTCCAAGGATCGCGAACGTTCGCATCTGGAGAGCCGTACGCGTGGACCCTCGCTCAAGGATCGCCTGATGGGACCGCCCAGCGAGAATGCCTACTCGATGGGCAAAGGTGCGGCAGCAGGAGCTGCCCTCATGGGTCTCGTGGGTCTCTGCTACTACGGTCTGGGCCTGTCCAAGCAAGCCAGTGTCTATGATCATTCGATGATGTGGCCGCAGTATGTGAGGGATCGCATCCATGCCACCTATGCGTACTTTGGGGCATCGTGTGGCATTACAGCTGCTGCAGCGGCTGCCTTTTTCCAGTCTGAGGCCATCATGAATCTGATGACACGCTCCGGTATGATTGCCGGGCTCATTACCCTGGGCGTGGTGATGGCCACTGGTGCCATTACCCACGCAATCGAATACGAGGAAGGATTCGGGGTGAAGCAGCTGGCCTGGCTGGCGCACTGTACCGTTCTGGGCGCCGTGCTGGCTCCCATGTGCCTCCTGGGTGGTCCGATTCTGACCAGGGCCATGCTCTACACGGGCGGTATTGTTGGCGCCCTATCCACGGTGGCCGCGTGTGCACCAAGCGATAAATTTCTCCACCTGGGCGGTCCATTGGCCATTGGATTGGGCGTGGTCTTTGCCTCATCTTTGGCGGGCATGTGGCTGCCACCGACGTCGGCCTTGGGCGCTGGCCTGGCCAGCATGTCACTCTACGGTGGATTGATCTTGTTCAGCGGATTTCTGCTCTACGACACGCAGCGAATCGTACGCGCAGCCGAGTTGCATCCACAGCATGGCGTTTCCAAATTTGATCCCATCAATATGGCTCTGGCCATATATATGGATGCTCTCAATATATTTATACGCATTGCCATGATTCTTGCCACCGAGAATCAGCGCAAGAAGTAGAAGCGAATCAAACAATCGGACAATCGGAATTGGGTTTTAGGTTGAAGAAAATCATTCAAATATAAATTGAAAAATGGGACGAATCAAAATTGAAACACAGTACATTGTTAACTTAATTAAAAAAATGGTCAGCACACGAAATAAATATGAAATCACATAAGAAATTCTTTGTGCATCAATTATATAACAGTTTCAGTGTTGGTTAGCACGAAAAACAGTGTTGGAATGGGCTGGAATGAAATCTACAGGTACCCTTTACTATTTAGTCATTCCTCTTCTCATAATTCTTGCATTTCGTAGTCAATTTTCTTCCCATATCAGCGCTGAAAATTATTTTAGTGTTGCAAAGTGTACAGAACAGTATGGCTGGCTTTGATAGCTTCCCCCTATTCACCTGTTCATAATTTATTCCCTTCACATTTCGGTGATTTATCAGCATTCTTCTGCTAAGTATTCGTATATTTTGTGTGCATGTATTTCTAACATTGCCCATACGGCGGGTATGTCCGTGGCATGGCATACAATTTTCGCTTGAATTCTACGAAATTTTTTTTGTCGCTAGCTATTCGTGCGCTCGCCCACACAAGCGCACACATAGCTATATGTACGTAAACACATAAACTAATACAAATACAACCATGTCAATTTCATTTAATTTTGCCGCATTTTCTTTGCTCTATTATTTCTTCTTTTTTATTTGTGTAAAAAGCTTTTGTGTGGCTGCAAAAAAATGTTTTAAGTGAATAAAGAATGAAAGAATTGCCGCAACAAGAGCAATCATTCAGATAAGTATATATATATATATATATATATATATATATACGATATATATATATTCACAGCTACGTTTGCATGGCAGCAGAATATATTATATGAATTGTTCAATGAATGAGTTGAAATTTTTAGCAACTCTTTTATCAAATTAAGCAGCAGCTGAAAAGTTTGTTTTTAATATTGTTAGACCATTAGGCTTAATCAAATTTAATTTTCTGATTAAATTATATATGTATGAAGAGTGGAAATTAAATACTTGGGTTTGGCCTTCGGCTTACTCCTTGACCTGCTCTCTACTTACATATCTCTGGGCACATTCCATTCAGAACCTTCTGGCAGGCAGTCAGTTGTTGTATCCTTGTAAGCTTTCTGCATCATATTCATTCATGGCGCAATGGGAGAAGCTTTCATTGAGCAACGAGCTTTGGACAGCCTTGCCAAGGTCAGAGCCATGTCCGCCGCACTCTCTCATGTAAAATGCTCTACAAATAGATGACTACTTTTATTTTTTATTTTTTTGATGGCTACTCTGCAACGGAAATTAAATTCTATGATGTGGCTCTCTGGGGTGTGTTTAATGTCTGCGCCTGTCTCTGAGCTCTTTATGATTCCCCATAATCATATTTGAACGTTCGCTATTTTGGCCAAAAACTGGCTTGACCATGACTTGTTGTCTCTGTGCCTGTCTTTGTGTCTCTGTCTGTCAGTCTGGCTGTCTGTCAGTTAGTCATTTCGACAATATTTGATGCTTGTCTAGATTATATGGGTAATCGCGGGACGGATTTGTCCTACGTCTAGCTGATAGCAAAACGGAGCGTGGCAGATAAGGACCGGGGTGTAGTGTGGTGTATGGAAAATAAATTGATTCACTTATGACATAAGTCGAGTCCAGTGGCATAAAAACCTGCGGCAAATGCTGTTCAAGCTGCGCTGAAACAAATTTTTAAAGCCGTAACTGATAAGACTCTGTTATCTTTGGGGTTCTACAGCAGCAATCCCGACTTCAATGAGATTCCAAATGCCTGACATGATGTCAAGAGAAGTCTATGAATGTTTGGTTTTTATTTTATAGTTCTATGATTGTTTTCATGCTTTTATTTTTTTTTCATTTAAATTAAATGGGAAGACTTTTAATTATCGCACCGAAAAGATTATGAGTTTTATGAAAGTAGAACACATAATAATACAGCGGAAACCAAAAGTAGAAATTTTATGTACAGTGTTTGCCCTATTCTTGTGACTCACTTGGGGTCACATAACACTAGTTAGATTTGTGATGATTAAGATCTTATTAAGCCTGTAATTTGCGCGAAAAACTCACTTGGTACTCTATGTTTATTTTCTTCCCTTACTTGCTGTTGCCTCCATTATTTTTACAATTTAACGAATTCGGAAATAATAAAACTAAAGCATTATATTGTTTCTGTTCCGTCTTTGTTTGCACAAAAGTTTATTTGCCTTTTGGGATCTTGTATTTTCTGCCCTGCTCTGGCGAGATCTGCTGTCGTCACATCATGCTCATAAGCAGCTGAATATTTGCCTTCTAGTGTAAGCAAAAAAAAGAAAAAATCTCGTTCTTGTTTATTTTTCTTCAAATTTATCGTTTGAGATTTTTTTGTACAGCGGCCAAAAATAACACATAAATCAGTGAGAGGAGACACAAGATCGTTTAGCACAAAGATTTTCCACAAGATTTGAAAATATGAAAATCAGAAAGGAATGAGGAAAGGAAGATCAAAAACTAAGCAAATGGAAAACAAAACAAATTAAGTATTACATGGAATATTAAAGATTTCATCAAAGTAGGTGTTCAATATTCTGTTTAATTTGTGACACAAAAGGCTCAACGAATCAACCATCAGCTAATTTGTGGAGGTTCCTCTGGGCTTTCAGCACTTTACAACTGACCCTTAAACCCAATGGGCAGTCCCCAGGATCCCATCTAGGTGTGTGCACCAATGAGGAATTGGACTTTTACACGCAAGCCTGGCATTAGGACATAATCTTTTATGACTACAGCAGAGCGCCCCTCCGTCATAAACATTATTTATATTGACTTTCTTTTTATAGGTGCCGACCATTAGCCTAAGCGTTCCCATTCCCTTCGCCCCAAACAATTTCCCCCTTTGCATGAAGTTCAAGGCCAAGGTCTACGATAGAACAAAAATTTCTCCGGATGTATTATTCACATCATGCGTTTTTTGGGGACTTTCATCTTGCAAGTGTGTCGAAAAATGGGCAACAGCTCGTTACGGCTATTAATAAACATAAATTTTGATATATATTTTTCGGTTCTCGGTTGTCCTTGGTTTTTGCTGATGACATTTTTTTTTTGAACAAAAGAAAACAAAGCCTTTCAAAAGACAGAAGATGATCATTTGGCGTTTTGGCTGAGTTCATTCTTTATTTCCTTTCGGTTTTATGACATGTGTGCGTGTGTGTGTGTGGGAGGGGGGGGGGTACCCATAAAATGCATAATTCAAATTTGAAACACGTTTCATTTGCTTTGCTGAGCATCAGGCAATCAAAATGGGAAAATACTAAGACGGAATCGTTTTTATTTTGTGTACCTGATGAAACCATTAAGGGCAATCGATAAACAAAAGCCGCCCCGGTAGAGGGGCATATATGGTGGTGGCATAAATTCGTATTTAAACATTCATAAAAATCAAGATTTAAGTGCAAAAAACTAAGCAAAAACTGCGAGCATTTGGTACACCTTATCAATAAAAATAAAACCTTGAGGTCGTCATACATTTAAATATAATTTGTATCGCTATTTTTGGCAGAAAGGCATAAAAGGTCTCTTCTATTTTATACAATTTAGATTTAAGTACAAAAATTGTACAGCTTATCAATAAACTAAAAACCTTGATTCACAAGTTTGTACATTTATTAATATCTCGAATTCATAAATTCGTTCAGCAAGTGTACAACCTTGAGGTCTTTTTTGTATACCGATTAACCCAATTTCCGTACAGAACATAAAATCACTCTTTATTTTCGTGTATATCCATTAATCCCATCAGATCTATTCACTTTTCTGCCAAAGTTATATACAAAAATTAACCTTAATAAAAATATAATTCCCATGGCCTTTTGCCCTTGATTTGGGTTTGCTCCCCCAGTTGAATGACTTACACTCTGGGAAATTTGTATGTTTTTCATTCTTTTGCCTATCATGTGATACCAAAAGCGAGACGAATGATACCAGAGCAAAGTGGATTTTGTTTATACAAAATAAATACAAATACAAGAAAAAAAACAACATTGCTTACCGTTTTAATATGATTCGAGACGGTCTATGGTGTTTGGGTTTGGGTCTCTGCCGCACTGATAAATGGCACACACCTGGGGCAACCAAAAAAAAAAAGGCTGATAAAAAATAAACTTATCAGCATGAAATAAAGTTAAACGGAAAAGACAGTCCCATCAATATCAGCAAAGCTGACGTCGTTTATTGTTACTGATTAATGGTAACATTTCGTTTTATTTTACGCTGATTACATTTTCAAGTCTCAATAAGTATTTTAGCAGCTCGCTCTAAATTGTGTGTGTTTGCCTCTATACTCTTTACAGAATGGTGGACTTCAAGGTGCAACAGCGTCGCTATAGAACCAGCGAAAAGACTGTCGTTAGCACTACCTATGGACCCATCAAAGGTGTCAAACGGAAGTCCATCTATGGCCAGCCATATTTCAGTTTCGAACGCATACCCTTTGCCAAACCACCTCTCGGAGAGCTACGCTATAAGGCGCCACAACCGCCAGAGATCTGGACGGAGGTGCGCAGCTGTACGTCACAGGGTCCAAAGCCATTGCAAAAGCATTTTGTATTCGATATGACGGATGGTTCCGAGGACTGCCTGTACCTCAATGTCTACACAAAGAATGTGAGTTGGGTGGATGATTAAATATTTAGATTTCAATTTACTAATAGGTTTTATCTCACTTAGTTATATCCCACCAAACCCATGCCAGTGATGGTCTGGATCTATGGCGGGGGCTTCCAATTTGGTGAGGCCTCCCGCGAGTGCTACAGTCCCGACTATTTGCTGCGCGAAGATGTCGTCGTGATATCCATCAACTATCGATTGGGTCCATTAGGCAAGTAAATTTAGCGCAAAATGTATTTATATTTTAAGCTAACTTTGTGACTGCTTTGCCATTAGGTTTCCTTTGCTTAGACGATCCTGAGCTTGATGTACCCGGCAATGCTGGACTGAAGGATCAGGTGATGGCCCTGCGTTGGGTCAAGGCCAATTGTTCTCGGTTTGGCGGTGATTCCGGGAACATAACTATTTTTGGTGATAGCGCTGGCAGCGCCTCCGTACACTACATGATGATCACAGAGCAGACACGCGGCCTCTTCCACAAGGCCATTTGCATGTCGGGCAACACATTATCCCCCTGGGCGGTCACGCCACAGCGGAATTGGCCATATCGTCTTGCCGTCCAGGCGGGCTACACGGGTGAGAATAATACCCGCGATGTCTGGGAGTTTCTCAACAATGCCAAGGGTTCGGACATAATTAAAGCGAACGCCGATCTGTGCATCGATGCCGAGAAAAAGGAGCGTATTGGTTTCTCTTTTGGACCCGTCATCGAACCCTTTGAAACGAGCCACTGTGTGGTGCCCAAGAAGCCCATCGAAATGATGCGCACCGCTTGGAGCAATAGTATACCCCTCATCCTGGGTGGCGTCTCCAATGAGGGTCTACTGCTGTATGCGGAGACCAAAGCCAAGCCAAATTGTCTGAATGAGCTGGATGATTGCCGATTTGTGGTGCCCATTGAACTGAATATGGATCGAGATAGTGCACTATGCAAAGACTATGGCGAACAGTTGAGGGAGTGCTACTATGGCGACAAAACGCCAAGTCTGGACACTCTTCACGAGTACCTAAAGGTGGGTTACACACACATATTCCTGCCTTTCTTTTACAATAAAATACATATAAATCTTTCTTTGCTTTTTATAGATGGTCTCCCATGAGTACTTCTGGTTCCCCATCTATCGCACAGTATTGTCCCGCCTGGAGTATGCCAGGAGTGCACCCACCTATTTGTATCGCTTTGACTTCGATTCAAAGCACTTCAATCACCTGCGTATCCTTAGCTGTGGCAAGAAGGTGCGTGGCACCTGCCACGGCGACGATCTCTCCTATCTCTTCTACAATTCACTGGCCCGCAAACAGAAGATCCATACGCGCGAATACAAGTGCATTGAGCGTCTGGTGGGTCTCTGGACACATTTTGCTGCCTATGGCAATCCCAACTTTGACCCAGATCAGTCGGAACTGTGGCAGCCCGTGTCTGCGGCGTCCGTCGAAAAGCATCAGCTAAAGTGCCTTAATATATCCGATGAGCTGAAAATAATCGATGTGCCCGAGCTGCGTAAGCTGATGGTCTGGGAGAGTTTCTTCAGACGCGACGAGCTGCTTTGAGGTGTGTGGAACTGCGATTGCGACTGGCGATTGGTGTGGAATGGAATGTGTGGAGTATCTCCACTTAGATGTAGATCTGTAGCTTTATCTGTACGATTCTAACAGCTTTATGTTCGAAAGCCTCTGTTCAAAACAATGCAAAAGCGTAGCTTTAGACCTAAACAAAAAGAAAAAAGAAAAAGAAAAAAAACCGCCCCCCCCTCTACTGTTGTTAAGTTTTTGCCAATATCGAAAGATTCTATTTAAGTGTGTTAAAGTTTTAGCAGCTTCGAAATCTATCTGGAATAGGTCGGAACTATATCGGGAAGCGTTATGTAAGCCAGGCAATAGTTATGAGTATGAAACACAAGTCGCAACTGAAGTACCTTCTATGAGAAACTACAAGAAAACAAACAAAAAAAAACAAACAAATAAAAAACAAAAAACAAACAAATACAGTAATCAAAGACAGCCAAGGAATCTGAGCTAAGCGAAAATGTTATAAATCTAATTTAAATGTTCCTTTAAATGAGTCGCGTCGCTAATGAAACAAAATCAACCAACCAACATATATCAAGCATATTTTCTATCGATATACGTTTAAGGTCCCCTCTCCTCCGAAACGCACACATATGTAAATTTTAGTTAGGATTTCAATTATATATTTTTCTTCCAATTAGCAAAAGCCGCGCACAATCTTACACTATCCCCCAGTAAAATACCAATCATTTTCCATTTGTGTTTTTTTAAAACATATACCTAAATATATTTAATCCGAAAATTTATTTATATATTTGTAGCTTAAGTCTTTTGGATATTTACCTGTTTTATATGCATACGTTTTTTTGAACAAACAAAACAAATAAGACAAAAAAAAGAACCTGTCCAAGAGTTTTACATAATTTTTTTAGAATATGTTTATAGATAAAAAACAAAAAAAAACTAAAAACAAACTAATAAATAACAACAACAAAAAACTGATCATAACTTGAGAATTGTTGTAGGAATGTGCACAAGAAGTTTAAATGTTTAAAGCATATATTTCAAAATATATACATATATTCCTTATGAAAGAAACTTCTGTATGTTTTTGAGTCCGTTTTTTGTCAAAAGCTTCAAAGTCATGTGATGCAAATGAAACTATGAATGTAATGTAATTTGAAAAGGTATATAAATCCATATTTTAATAAAAAAAAAACAACATAAAACCACAAAAAGAAAAACTCTCAAATGTATTTGAAGCCAAAAAAAGAAAAGGAACGATATAAATAAATTGGAAAAATACTTTGATTTAGTTATCAAATATTTAAAATGAGAAAACTATTGATTGCTGTGAAATTTTTAAGTTTCCGCCAAAGCAGTGATGTTCCGCGGATCATAACCAACTGGGATTTTATACAAAAGTAAGTATGAATCAGCCAAAACCTTAAATTATCGCCATGTGACTGCATTGCCATTATCATGCTAATAAAACTTCGATTTGTTGGAGCATAAATCTGGAACCAAAGACGTCATGGAGACCGTCTGGGAGATATCACAAAATTCTACCCCCTTGCAAAATTTGCTGCAAATTATCGCACATGTTCCAAAAATTAATACTCAAAGATAGATAAATCGTAGGATTTAATATTGCATGACTAATTCCTTGCTAATTGGCTACCATTAAAATGGTATTCTTTTTTTTTTTTTGGTTTTGCTTTGTCACGTTGATTGGCGGTTATAATTATTGTATAATTAGAGAGCACATTAACCTATTTGGGATGGAAATGTATGGGAGTCTGGATGGATAATGCAAGCGACTGTCTGAATCAGCTGATCAGTGCTAATCATTAAAGTACATCATTACTATTAACTGACATCGTTTTGCTAGAAATAATCTTGAATGATTTCCTCAGTTTAGTTTCATTCGTGACAGGCAACGATATACAGCAAAATGTCTACAGCAATTGGATTTTACTTGTTGCTTAGGTAGTATATAATTTTATTCCTATTCCAATTCGTATTTTATTTTCCTTGTATTAGTTTACTTTTAGTTATCTGCCTACAATCCATACTTTGCGATGATGTACCATCCGCAGAGGCAGATACAGTTATAACACAAAGTGAACCAGCCCACACAACGCCAGATGACTTTCATCTATAATGGAAATGTTTCGATTAAAGGCCCCGCCCCTTTTCAATAAAGAAATCAACGCATCAGCACTCTTTACTCAATCGTATCGAGTGGTGGGCTCTGCTGACACATGTCAATTGCATAATTAACAGCCCAAAGTCAAGTTCACAGTCACAAGTGCCATTATATTGTTGAAAAAAACCTATTAATGTCTGCGTGTATGCACTAGTTAGTGGGGCACTACGGCACAGCTATACTGTGCACTCATTAAGTGGTGCTTTGGAAAAAAAAGCTTTTGAGAGCGTTTGGCTGGTATGTCTGCTTTGCTCTGCTGCTTTGTTAATTAGCCTAAGTTTAGGTTCACTTTCAAGGTGGTTCGGCTGTCGGACGTGCTATTCACAAGCAGCTGGTTTATTTGTGGGTTAACACACTTTTTATTGGATGTAGTTCCGGAACATGTAGATATGTATGTATATGTATTTATGTGTCTCAAAAGCGATCGATCTGCTGTTAACATGGAACTGTTATCATTAACAGTGCAGCGCTGTTAATATACAGAAGAAGCTTTTTTGTTTAGATTTCAGAGCTTACATATGCGCAACCGGTATATTCATTCTGGTATTCGGAATGCAGAGAGCAGGTAAAACAACAGCTGTTTCTCTCATTCTCTGAGCGAGCAATCAGTGGGAGAGCGGCGGGTGTGAGCAACTGGTGGTGGTGGAGCTTAGTATATGGATACCCCACGATCGGCCCGAATTTTGTCAGTCTCTGCCGCACTCTCGCGTGAAGCGTTTTATACCATCTGCGTACTTCTCCACCGCGTCTCGCGTTAACTGGAGTTTGCACATTGTGACACTTTCTCTGTGGGTCTCCGTCTCTGTCAGATTGTGTCTGCATCTCTGCCACGCTCCCATAGCAAATTGTAAAATATTCAATTTGTTTTTTGTGTCGTCGTCGTGTTCATGAAAATTGTGATAAAAGTGTGAAAAACTAAAGGGAAAAGATGGCCACACGCTTCATGGATATGCTGAAGCTGACCTTTAAGTGAGTGCGAGTTCGAGTGTTTCCACGTTTATTTCTTGGGTTTTCCTCGTTTTCTTGAAGCGTTAAATGATTTTCTGTGTCTGTTGTGGTCTCTATCTCTGGTGCCTGGAGGGTAGGGGGCTTTGCAATACAGACATGCATTAAAATATGCGTACACATGATATCGTATATGTTGTGTTGGTGAAATTGTTGCGCAAACTTTTGCCTGCTGGTTGGTTTTTGTGGATTTTGCTGGTGTTTTTGTTTTGTTGTTTTGCATAAACTTAATGATGCTGCTTCTTCTTTTTTGTCTTGTTCCTCTTTTGCCGTTTGTTTTTGTGTCCCTTCCCTTACGCCCTCCCTCTGTCTGATTCATGCGCGATGCTTCCATTGTTGCGGCGGCATTCGTTAGTGATTTTTTGTTGTTGTTGTTTTGTTTTTACTGTTTCACCGTTGTTCCATTTGTTTGCTTATTTTTTGCACGTTTTCCGCAGGTCTATTAGCAATTTTGCGGATGGTTAGTATTTTTAACATAAATTATTGCAAAGCCATGCAATTGTGTTAATTGCAAATATATATGTATATTTGTTAAAGTGCGGGTTGGCTACGCGTATATTTGTATGGTGTTTTTTATTTTATTTGAAAAGCATAAAAAGAAAGGTGCGTGCTTTGTGTGAGTCGAAGTGTGAATGCCCTAGCAGAGCAAAGAAAAATGGAAAAGTGTGTATTGGTTGTGTGGATTATGTTTAAAATTAACAGAGAAATTGAGAAATTGTTACTATGTCAACTAAAAAAATTTAGTAATCAGTTTTCACGCCAGCATTCATAAAAACGCAAATATCTTTCAAGCTTTTCACCAAAGAGTATCAATAGAGTTTCAAAGAGTAAAAGATTTGGACTACTGTTGGCTTAATTGTTGGTATTTTGAGGTTTAATTTAATTATAAACATTATTTACTCAATTATTTCATTTAATTATACGCTTACACATAAAGACATGCAATTAAATAGGAGGATAGCTCCAAGTCTCTCTACTCATATCTCTATTGGGTTTATCCCAATTATATACAAAATGATAATTATTATTTATTTAATTTAATTTCTTTAATCATTTCTCTTAATACCCGTTTGCGTCTTTTATCTGTAAACCTTTTTTTTCACTAAAACTTCCATAACAAGTTGTATATACTGTATGTATAATTTCCAGACAACTTAATTGTTTTTTATACATATAGGTAAATGTAGCAACCATACTGATAAGTCTGTAGGGTACAGGGTTCATTTCACTTTCAGGTGATAAACGACGATTTCTACTCCACGGGCATGACACGACAGGTTTTTAGTACCAACAAAAAATTATATAAGCTATTTCGATGAGTGTTGTTCGATAGATAAATCGTAGAAATTAATATATGTACATATGTATTATTTTATAGGCTATGTGAAATGAATGGGATTAGTCATTGGTATTTGTTGCTAGGCATCTCTTTTTTAAGCATAGCTAAATAAAGCTCAAACTGTAATCTAGTCGACGAAAAACACACACTTTGTCTTATTGATTTGTTGAAGTATCTGTAGCTATACTTACTGATAAGATAAAGTCCATTACACTTGTACTTAAAGCTATTCAAAGCAATTGTTAAATGAGTGCAACAAAGTACTAATAAAATTCGAATTTATTTCCTTAATTAGTTTTGCTTTGTTAAGTTTTTGCTTGCATCAACTATTTCAAATGCAGTTGTTAATGACAGCTGAATGTAGATTAATTCTATACTTTCTATTGGCCTTCTGTTGACTTTCTCAGCCTCATTGCAGTCACGTACTCTCCTCCAGCTCCAATCTTTGCAGCACCGATTCGATCTCAGTTGCCTTTCTCTCGTTTCTGTTTGTTGAATACAATTTGTAATTACCGATTTGTATGCACTCGGGTACCATTAATGGTGAGCGAATTGTGTCAGTGCACTTGCAGAATGCCACTTAAATATAAAATGGTTTGTTTATACCGAAGGTGCGCAGTGGAAATAATATAAAAATAAACCATAAAATGCAAAAATCATGCCTCACGCCCGCCCACAAATTATCCATAAAAAAAAAATCAAAATACACAACAGAGAGTTATATAGAAAAATAGTAGAAGACTGTTTGTGCATGTTAAGCGAATGGGGCGTCGCGTTGAGGTTGGTCAAAAGCCTTTTGACAATTCGTAAGACTTTCAAAACAACAAAGAGACCACCACAAAATGACATTGAAATGGCTACGCCCGGGTGGCATGGCCCCAATGCGTGACAGCCTTTCAATGGGTTAGATTCGCACACGAAAGTATTACTTTTAGATCCAAGATAGGAATGAAACTCGCGATAACAATGGTCTAGAAATACATTTTAAAACTGTTCAAAATCATTACACTTTTCATATCTAATCCAAACATTTTCTTGCACCTTTTCAGGGTCCTCAGTTTCAAATACGAACAGCGCAAACTTGCCACAGCCATATATTCTGTGGTCAAGACCAATTTGGGCACTGTGCGTGGTGTGAAGCGAAATACCATTTGGGGTGGAAGTTACATTAGCTTCGAGAAGATACCATTCGCCAAGCCACCATTGGGCGAGCTGCGTTTCAAGGCGCCAGAGCCAGTGGAGCCATGGGATCGAGAGCTGGATTGCACATCGGCAGCCGACAAACCACTGCAGACACACATGTTCTTTAAGAAGTTCGCAGGGTCAGAGGATTGCCTGTATCTGAATGTGTATGCCAAGGATGTGAGTGATCAAAAAAGTGAAATTATTTCAATAAAATATTAATTTCTGGATTAATTCTGACAGCTACAACCGAATAAACTGCGTCCAGTGATGGTTTGGATCTATGGCGGTGGCTTCCAGGTGGGTGAGGCCTCGCGGGATATGTACAGTCCGGACTTTTTCATGTCCAAGGATGTGGTGCTGGTCACAGTGGCCTATCGACTTGGCGCCCTGGGCTTCCTTAGCCTCGATGATCCGCAGTTGAATGTGCCAGGAAATGCAGGGCTCAAGGATCAGATAATGGGCCTGCGATGGGTGCAGCAGAACATCGAAGCATTCGGTGGGGATCCCAAGAATGTCACGCTCTTTGGGGAGAGTGCTGGCGGTGCCTCGACTCACTTCCTCACGTTGAGCCATCAAACAGAGGGTTTGATACACAAGGCCATCGTTATGTCGGGCAGTGTATTCTGTCCTTGGGCATATCCTCCCAGGAATGATTGGGCCTATCGTCTGGCCCAGAAACTGGGCTACACGGGGGATAACAAAGACAAGCCAATCTTTGAGTTTTTGAGCTCTGTAAATGGTGGGGAACTAGTCAAGGCCTCGGCCACAGTCTTGAGCAAGGAAGAGAAGCATAATCGAGTGTTATTTGCCTTTGGACCCGTTGTGGAGCCCTACAGCACAGAGCACACCGTGATTGATAAGCCACCACATGATTTAATGCAGAACAGCTGGAGCAACAGGGTGCCCATCATGTTCGGAGGCACCAGCTTCGAGGGTTTGCTCTTTTATCCAGGTGAGTTTTGTTGGCGCTTCTAAAGGAACTCTCTTACATGATTTTTCTTTATTACTTAGAGGTCTCCCGTCGTACGGCCACGTTGGATGAGGTGGGAAACTGCAAGAATTTACTGCCCAACGATTTAAGCGACAATCTGGATCCCAAGCTGCGGGAGAACTATGGCCTGCAGCTGAAGCGCGCTTACTTTGGCGAGGAGAGCTGCAATGAGGCCAGCATGATGAAGTTCCTCGAACTCAGCTCCTATCGCGAGTTCTGGCATCCCATCTATCGTGCCGTATTGGACCGTGTGCGTCAGGGTAGTGCGCCCACCTATTTGTACCGCTTCGACTATGACTCAAAGCTCTGCAATGCCATTCGCATTGTGCTCTGCGGCCATCAAATGCGCGGCGTCTGTCACGGCGATGATCTGTGCTACATCTTCCACAGCATGCTGTCACACCAGTCGGCACCGGATTCGCCCGAGCACAAGGTAATCATGGGCATGATCGACATCTGGACGAGCTTCGCCGCCAATGGAGATCCCAACTGTGAGAGCATCAAGTCGCTGAAGTTTGCACCGCTTGAGAATGAGTCCGATATCAAGTGCCTGAACATTGGCGAAGAGTTTGAATACAAAACTCTGCCAGAGCTGCAGAAGATTGAGCCAGTGTGGAACAGTTTTTATGCTCCCGATAAACTGTAGTTCCATTTAGTGCAGGGGGGTTCCATAGCTTTAGCTCTGTCTCAATTGTAGAAATTTGTTCTGCAATTGTATAAATATGTTGTACATATATTCGGGTTGTAAGATTGAAATTGTTGTTTTAAATTAATATTCTTTACATATATTTTGTATTAAGTTCTTAAACAAGACAAGAAAAGTATATTTTAGATAATATAAGAGGAGTTTTAAAGGAGGAAATATAATATTTTGATAAAAAGAAACCATGTATAGATTTCTCTTCTCGTTAAGTATTAACTTTAACCCACTTTAAAGCTGTAAAGTTCCCAATGCCAGTTAAGACAGCATTTCACTAAACCTGTCGGATATTTTTCTAAACTTTTATTTTTGATGCCCCATCTAACCCTAATTCCTGCCTGACTGTCACTTCCACAGCCCCGTGTTCCCGTATAGTATGCTGATGTGACATTTATGTGTGTAAGCCGACGCTTGACAATCAAAGGGGACAACAATTTCCGCAATGCCACCGCCAACAACGACAGCCTGGATGACACCCAGCAACTGGAGCGAAGCGCAGCTGAAGGGAGTGGCAGATTGAGAGCAGAGCGTGGAAATAGAGGGAAAAAAAAATTCCATTAAAATTTTTGCAAGTTTTTAATTTGCTTTTTTTTTTGTTTTTTTTTTTGTGTGCCTTTTGCCGGGGCACAGCCGAAAATGTTTGTGTGGTAAAAATCCAGAAAGGTTTTGTTCGGTGTATGCGTGTGTGTTCTCTGTCTCTCTGGGTCTCTGGGATCGGATCGCCTCTCATCAGCAACGTGAAAATTTCATTTGTCGACGACAGGCAGGGGGCCAAAGTCGCAGCAGCGAGTTGGGCAATTTTTCGTTAAATTTTCCCTCTATATGGTACGTACATATAACAATTTTTATTTTTTGTTTTTTGCATGTAGAATTTTAGACTGTGTTATGGTCATGGCTGGTGGAATGCAACCGGGCGTGGATATGAGCGTTGGGTGTGGGTGGCCGTGGGCCAATGGCTAAATCCTGTTCATGTGCAGAGGGTGTAAAAATGGGCGTTAACTCAATAAATTAGAATTTTTTCCATTGCACAAAATTGTTTGAGAATGCGATTTCTCGTTTTTATAAAATGTGCTCTCTGTGTCTGTGTCCCAGGGCATTTGATTAAATATATATATATATTTTTTTCAATTTATTTGTAAGTCGGGGGGTTTTTAGTTAATAAATTTAGCGCACTAAATGAAATTAAAATGCAGTCTGCAGACTGCACATCCCAATGGCTGTTAGCTTAATTTCATAAATTTATTTTTAAGCACACACTTAATTTAATATATTTCATAGTTATGCGGGTGCATGTGTTTTTTTTTTGTTGTTGTGTATTTTTCAGCCACCGCAGAAAAGTATGCAACATTTATGTGTTTTTTTAGCTTAACTTTTTTTTGATATTTGCGCGTGTGAATGCGTGCGTGTGGTAGAGGTGTGTCTGTGTGTTGTTAAGAGTGCTGTCAGTGTGCGTGAGAGGTGTGTCAGTGTGTACCGTTTGCTTGCATAAGCCGTATTCATCCGCCGTGTTGCCACTTGCTCTGACGCGGGGGCATTCCATTCTTTTTGTTTTTTTGTTGGCTGTTGCTTATCCCCCGTCACTCGTCGGATGTCTGATCATATTTGTTTGCGGTCTGCACTGCGGTGGAAGCTTAACAAAAACGGGTCAACACTCACACAGACAGAGAGTGAGAGAGAGATAGACAGACCACAATTATAATGGCCGACGACCATGGGGAAACTTTGTCGCTTATTGAAGTTCAGCTTTTTATCAAATTAAATTTGCCGGATTACAGGTATTTAGAGCTGAACAGAGTCTGCGGTCGCGCGGGAACTTCACTGCAATACAAGTGGCATTAGCGGTTGTAATTGAATTTCGGCCATGTGGCATGGACTCTACTATTTTTCCCGTGTGTGTGTGTGCGTGTGTGTCTGTGTGTCCTTGATATTTTTAACTCTGGCCTAATTGAATTTACTGCACATTTAAATAATAAAATAGAAGCATCATAAAATTGGGCTGTGTTAGAAAGGGATATACACGAAAATCCTTTTTTATTACATTTTTTTTTTGCGTGGTTTTGGAATCACTGGAGTGACTTTGACAGCTCTGGTTGAAAAAAAATGTAACATATTTTTTAGTAATTTTCAAATTGAATAACTGCTATTGAATGGAAGTAAAACGAGGAAAACAATTTTTTAATTTTCAGCCAGACATGTAAAATAATGTATATACAATTTTCTATTAAAGCTTGCAGTTTTTGTTTAAATATTTAAATGCCAAACGAAGTATTAGATGAGGTATTGCACCCTCCATTAACTTCCATTAACATATTCATTAAATCAAAACCCAGCTTTTCTTTTACTCAAAACTTACAAGAATATTTCTTTTAGTTTTGCTTCTTTGTTGACATTTTTTTGTGCATCTTACTTTTGTGACCTCAAAGTGTTTTGCTCGTAGGTTTAAGTGCTGCTTGAGCCAGAGCCAGCTGCAACTCAATTATGTTGCAAGCATAAATTATTCACTTAAGTGTCTCAAATTATGTGAAAAAGGTTGCCAAGTAGTAGACGGAGACGTAGCCGAAGCTGGTTGCATTTTACCCGGAGAAACACTTCGACGCACACGAAACACAACTCAATTTGAGCATAAATTTCATTTGGTCCAGGTGAAAAAGAACAACAGGCGAAAAACCAATGGAGAATCAGGAGCACAATCAGGGTCTGAAGCAGGAGCAGGAGCAGCAGCAGCTCCGTACAGACTTTAATAACAAACACAATTTAAGTGCACATAAAACGAGTGGCAAGGCAGCTGAAAGCTCTGCTCGTGCCACGGTGAGAGGAGGGGGGTCGCGTGCAAGGAGTTATGCACTCGAAGGATATTCTTCGCATTTTATGCACTCCAAGGCAAAGTTATTGAGTAATCAGCTTTAAAATTCTACCCAACTCCAACTCTTAACCCCTAGCTCCAGCTTTTCCATACCTCCTCCATTTTCTGGCCATTTGTTTGTTCCTTTTTGGGCGAAAGAAGCCCGCAAGCTGCAGCTGCAGCAGCAGCAGCAGTCGAAGGCGAATGCGAAGCAGTTGGAGGCTGTGTCTGAGTCTGAGTGTCCAACCTCCCCATAAAATGCACAAAATGTATGCCGGGGCACGTGGCAGCTGAAAATGATTGCGCGACATGCTTGGTTTATGCATTTTGGGTGCCACAATTTATGTGGCCAGAGGAGTCGTGAGTGCGTCGGGGGTTTTGGGGCAGTGAGAGCTGCTACTCGAGGCGCCTCCTCGAGATGCTTAGAATTGCACTCCGCCGCAGACAACGTGACGTATGAGTGTTAATGGGTTTGTTTTTCCACGTCAGGACGTAACTAATCAAGAGCAGAAGCAACAATGCTGCAGACGAGTCATCTATTTCATTTGGATGTTGCTGAAAAGTAAGTGAAATTTGAGAAAATGTGAACTAGGGGGTACCCTGGATGGGGTATATTTAAAATGATTAAAAGTTCACCAAGAAGCAGTTGTTTGGGACAGAATTTAAATGGTATGTCAAAAAGGAATTTTACCCTACAATAAATTAAAAATTAAGCATAGAAAATATACAAAATATTTATAGAAAATGTCCCAATACACCCACGGATACCCTATCGTTTAAGTGTGGCTCCGCGCCGCAAGAACTATTATTTATTGGGCCCTGGCCCTCGCTGACCAACAGAGCAGCCACATAAATTAGAGGCAGACAATGAACAATGTAGTTTGCGCCTGTTTGCATGCTACACATTTTTTCACTTTCACGCCATCTTTTGCTCTTTCCGACTGCTGTCCGTCCTCTCTTCAGCCTTTTTTTTTTTGGTGTTTCTGTATCTGTTACTGTCTCGTTTTACAGTCTCTCTCTTCATTTGGTGTCTCTACTTTATGTCTGGAGTGTGTGTGTGTGTGTGTGTGCTGGAGAGCGTTCTCGTGCAGTTGGCCGACTCATTAAGCCCAGTAATGACACTTTAACGCTGTGAGCACGTTCTAAGCTCCACCAGCAATATTTTATGCCCCCTCGGAATGATTTGTAGCGGCAACCTACAAAATGGAAAATGGGTGGCGGCGGCACAGGCACAGGCACAGCTCTGGTCTGGTCTCTCGATATGGGCCAGGCAGGCGTTGGCGCCATCGAAGTTCGGCCTTCCGTTGAAGTGTGAACATAATTTGTTTGGCATATTTTAAGTAAACCTTACCGCAGCATCTGCTGCCCGAACACACTGACACTGGCAAATTATTAGATATACCACTTTATATGTATATTTTTGCCTACCTGGCTGACCAGCCGCCTGAGGCTTCTGTTAATTTATAGCGTCTCTTTTTTTTTGTTTTTTAATGGAACGGATGCAATAATTTAAATGGCAACCGGATGTTTGCAGTTGTTCATATCGCCCCAAGAGGGTTTGCTAGAGAGAGAGCGAAAGAGTGTGTGAAAAAAGTGGCCACGTGTCGGTTAAACTGCCGATAGGCAATTCATGTTATGCTCGTCACTTCCGACAAGCTGACGTAAATGTCTGAAAATTAACTTTAAATTTATGCAACAACGCAAATGTGGCAGGAAAAGAGTGTGTATTATATACACGAGCATAGGGAAAATAATTGCATGCAATTCAGAATAAAGTGTCAAAAATGGCAGCCGTAATGTTGCTACTAGAACTCGTTTTTATTTGCCAAAAACTTTAAAGAGCAAACGTTAAACCAAATACAGCAAAGCAGCGAGCAAGAGAAACGTTATAGCCGATAGTGCAAGCATTTATATGTACGGAGTACATTTGCATATATGAATGCATGATGTGGGTACGCACTAAGACAGGATAGACCCCACAGGACACAGTATGCAAACCGCAGCAAACTAATAATAACCAGTAAAGCCACATGGCCAGCCAACAGAAAAAAAGAAGCAGGCCAAGAGGGATAGTGGGAGTAGGTGGTGTAGGAGGGACAGAGCAGAGAGCGTTGGGAATGTGTTAAGTGCGCCAAGTGGTGTAGAAGTGGTGGGAAAAACGGGGAAACTGTGTGATGGCCGCACAGAACAGCAAACATAATTGCAGCCACGAAATTTACAAATAGCTTTTAGTGTCAGCGCAAAATACATAACAGTACAAAAACACCCAGCCAAACATAGTCTGTACCCACACACACACACACAAACACACACACACAGCGATGCAACACACTCCCACAGATACTCTCTTTCTATCTAAAATACAGATACAACATACAGACAGACAGTCATACATATGCAACTAATGCACTCAATGCATATCAGCCATACCAAAGGGCATCGCCAGCTGCCAGCCAGCGCTGTACCAAAGCGGAAATATCGTTAAACAAATGCGCAGCACTACACAGCACAGAACCAAAGCAACTGTTTGAAGGAAGCGGCGGGAGGTCCCTGGGTCCAAGGACTACATAGTGTAGTAATAACTTCGCCACTTTGGACACTCCAGAGAGCACGTCCAATTTGTCATGGCAGCAGGAGTAAAGCAACAGCGAACTACAGAAAAAAAAATGTTTAATGTAAAACGCAAAAGTTGAGAGCGAGTGAGAAAGAGAGAGAGAGAGAGCCGAAAGCCGAAAGCCCAGCGAGCTGCAGAACTTCCATGTCCATGTCCTTGGCCACTAATTAATGCGGCTTGTTTGGCTCGCTGGCCAGGGCTGGCTGACTATTTTTGGCAAGTATCTGCCAGCACTTGTAACTGTCGTAGGGGCAGAACCGACAATATTCCATCCCCTCCTACGCCCCACTGCATGACATTAGGCGTTGCTCTGCCTCGAACAGTTTTGGGCTGCATGGCCCGTTGGTGGGGAAATTAAATTTTGCATTGCCGCAGTGAGAGCTTTTCAGCGATCTGCTTCTCTTTTTTTTTCTATATCCCTGAGTGCCCGCATTTGTTTAACTCTAACGGTTAACGCCCACCGTGCGTATGCGTAATGACATATTCGGTGTTTTTGTTTGGATTTTGGGAACTGGTACAAGGGTTTTATGGCCATGGCCCTATGACCGTATTCGAACAGTATTTACTATGTTAAAATTGAGAGCGGAATAAGATAAATACAAATGGGGAACAGAATGGAAATTCCTGAAAATTGACATTGCATTTGACATTCTGCAACAAAAATTATTGCACATTTTTGTATTTATCTTGAATGCAAATATTTCAAATGATTTTTTTATAAAATTAAAAACAAAAATACAAATATATAAACACAGACAGAGCGAAAACATTTGTTGGAATGCCAAAAACTTTTCTCATTACAAAAGCTTTGAAAAAAAAAAAAAAGCTTGCAACCACCCGCGTTCATCGAATGCAACAAGCAAACATTCTGGGAACAAAAGTAAAACAATGCTCAATAGTTTGTCTATCCCCCCCATTCATTTGTACTTGGATAAACTTTTCGAACAATAAAAGTGCATGGAAAATATTTGCCATATGATAAAAGTTAAAGCGTCCTTGGGCCTCAAGGGAAAGTCAAATAAAAACGATGGAGCTAAACGAATATAAAAACGCAAACACACATCTTTATCAAATTAGCTAAATTATAAATCGTTTTCCTTTCCGCTTTTACCCACAGGCAGGCTCTAGTACGGAAAACTGTGCGCTGTGCACAAAAAAGGAAAGTTGTGCCGACAGCAATTTCCGCTGCTCAACTGCCAAAAATGGAAGGAAGACATATGCAAAAATTGTTGGCAACACCTTGTCAGCAGACCCTGGCAACCTAAGGACACACACACACACACAGAGGCAGAGGCAGAGGGTGTGAGGCAGCAACTTTATTTTAGCTGCAACTTTTTGCTAATTATCTACTTCGTGTCGGGGGAAATGCTGCAAGTGTTGCACGTAGCTGTGTTTTGTTTGGGGGCACAAATTGCTCGAAACATTTACATTTCCGTTACGTAATTAATAGTTGAACTTCTGCCCGACCCGCGCCACCCATGCCACCCTGCTGACAACTGTGTTTATCGCCTGACAACACATCAGGCGGCTCTCTCGGCTCAGTTTTCGACTGCATGCGCGTATAAATTATAAAAGTTTTCAGTTTTTGTCTTCAAGGAAATTAATTATAGAGCAGCAGCAGCCTAAAACCTTTGACGAGTCGAACTATGTATCGTATGTGCCATGAATTTGCTTTTACAAATCTACAAAACTTTTCAACGACTTACTCTACAATAGAAAATTGCTGTAGAGAAGCAACTGAAGAGCCACACAGTAATTGCAGAAATATTTCTTGTTTATCTGGGGGGCTGGGGCTTCACTTCTACAAATTAGAAAGTAAACTTAAATAGACCAAAATTCCTTTGGCACGGGCAGGGCAAAGTGTCTGCGTTTTCAATGTGTTAATGCCAAAAAATAAAACTAAACAAAATGCCCCGATTTCGATTATCTGGTAAACACATTAAATGGTGTGGCAGACAATGGCAGGACTGACGGACATCAGCACATAGAACCCCAGACCGAGACCGAAAAAGAAACATCTCCAGGCAAGCAGAGAGTACAGAAAAAAAATAAGAAAAGAAAGTCTCGCGTGCGCCAAAAAATATTTATTTGCCTCGAGCGGAGCCAAGGCAGCGTTAAAATAGAAATCACAGTGCCTGGTCTTACTCCACTCCTGCAGAAGGGAGGGGGAATTCTAAAGAAATGGCGGAAATACAAAGTTGAGGTATCAGACCAGGAAGTGCATATCGCGTAGGGGAAATGCTCCAGCAAAAGCAGCAGCAACAACAGCAATAAGGAAGGGCAAGAAATCGTAAATAAAATGCAATACAAATGCAGGATGCCAGGAGTGCAAACAAACCGAAGCTGAAATGCCACCAAATCACTGACAGGCCCCAAACAACAGTAATAGTTGACTAAGTGTAACACAGAAAAATTCTGAAAACTTTAATGTTTAAGCAGATCTCTTAGGTTTGTATCGTATAACGGGATTTGAATTGATTTCCAAAGCCGAAAATATTCTATAAATATCAATTTAGTGAACATTGAATATTTCCAGCACTTTGGAGCGACTTTAGATGCAGAATTCCCCAACTGAATAACCGCTGTAGTCATGTATAAAATACGCAACTCGACTGGCAAATAAAATTGCCGAGCAGTACGGGGGGGGAAAAAAAAAATCAAATGGCAGCCGACATTTGCCGTGTGGACAACCGCATTTCTATCTGTGTGTTCGTTCGTTCGCCTTGATATGCCACAAAAGAGTGAAACAGCGCGCGGAGAGCATGGCAAAGCTCTAACTCTATTTTTCGGCTCTTGGGAAATTGGAAAATTTCAAATCACGTAGTGCAAAGAAATTCGCGTTTTGCGTGGCACACACATTCACTCTCTCTGACTCGCTCTTACGTTTATTTTTTTGATAAGCAACTCGTTGGCAAACGAATAAATCTCTAAGCCAAATAAAGAATGCAATTTTATGGCCCCTATCCTCTCCCCATCACCATCCTCTTTTTGCTGGCATATGAAAAGTTAAAATTGGTTCAAACTTAACACCAAGATCCAAAGAACCCTTCCCCATCCATGAACTCATTTGGTAAGCAATAAAAAAAAACTTGTTGCCAGGCACCACCAAACATTGTTTGTCTTTTGTGCCTTTTCTCACCTCCGATCTAAGGCAACCTTTTTCATGGCTTCTTTACATTGTTGTTGTTGTTGTTTCTGTGCATAAGTCAGGCGTGGGTTTTTGGTGCGGTGGGGGTGAAAATTTAAATTTTCAAATCAAAATACTTCTGACACGGTAAACACCACGCCCAGTGGCTCGCATTATTGCACGCCTTGCATGTGTCAACAGTGGTGGGGGACAGGAGCAGGGACAGGGATAGAGCCTGGAAGTATGCACTGTTTGTTTAGGTGTCCGAGTTACACATTTCGCCCATTTTCAGTCATTGTTGTACTACTAGTACCCTACCAAATGGCAGAGTATATAGCTGAAGTGTGAGTGGTTTAAGAGCAACCCTATCAGAGGGGCTCATATGCTTGCCATGCAGATTGAGATGCATTTTGGTACAAGTATATATAAAGTATGTTGTTCGTGATCTATCATCTATCTATAATTTAAAAAGATATAAAGAAAGGTGCGTAAGGGTACCTAAAACTTCGTCATTTGAATTCCGTTTCCCTACCTTTTTTTCGGTTGACTCTTTTGAGCAAAAGTTTACGAGTATTGCACACTGTGTGTGTGTCGTCTCCCCTTTTCGGTATTGTTGTGTGCTCTCTATGTGGTGGGCGTGATGGGGGTTTAAGTTTTCCCGCAGGCTTTAGTTGTTCAACCAAGTACAAGCAATAAAGGTTTCTACTTTATGACAGTGTTAGCATGAGGTGGGTTGGGGATGGGATGAGTAGCCAAATCCTACCCGCTATAAATGCGATTTTTGGCTTTATAATTATATGGAATTCACTGACATAACCCACACACAAACAAAACCGATTTTTACAGTTCACTTAACCTGCACACAAAATTTAGCAAGTTAGTTTCTAATAATGAACAAAAATTCGAAACGAATTTTAGCAATTTTATTCACTAGATTTACAATCGAATTAATTAATGTGTCAATGGGAAAAGTCAGCAAAGCATTTTACACCATTTTACATGATTTTATTAAATTAGCAAGCAAATGTGCGCCAATGTGCAATGAAATTAATTATCTGCATGCGCATAAAAAGTATCAAATACAAAAAAATATAATAAAAGAGAGCATCGTTTATGGATTAGCTTTGGCTATTGACTGTTGGCAAATGCGAAATGACACTTTGTTGCCCCTAATAAGTATTAGTGCATTCAACATTGAAAATCAAATTAAATGCGAATTATATTGAACAATATTCTGCAGTGGTCAGTTTGTAACTTACTTTTCAGAGTTTTATATGAAAAACTGAAGCTAACCACCGGCAAACACTGATGACAGGTGATTCGGCAATTAAATATAATTTAGTGTGACAGGTAACCGCAATCAAATATGCTTTAAATCGATGCGCAATAAAAAAATGTCCTTTTTTACGTACCGAAAAATCATCTCTATGATAGTAGAATATTTATTTTTTACTTTATTTATATGTATTTACTTTCCGTTCTAAGTTTCAATGTTTTATGTTTTTTTCTGTGTCATAGTAGGCTGTAAAATATTTTGTATAGCAGGAGTCTAAATATTTCCTAATTTATTTTATTGTCAATCCGAACGCCAAACAGTAAAGATCAATATTTTTCACAGTGAATTTTTTTTTTATTTTTTCATTTACACAAAATGACAAGGTAAAATTAATCTGATCTAGTTATCTCTGGAATTTGCTTTGCTTATCGTGTAATTGTTTTTTTGGAACAGCCGCAACACAACCGGAAAACTGCTGGTGGACTTGGTTCAATGCATTGATGAGCCCATTGGTTACGAGTATATCATGCAGATGATGGCGGATGCCACAGCGCAGAAACTGAGCACACCAGCACGCAGGACTGTGCGTGAAACCCTGGATGCTGCCGTTAAGCTTGGGTTCCTACAACGCAATCAACGCGGCAAGTTTAAGGGGTCTCCGCTAGCTCCAGAAACCACGCTCACCATTTTGACTGCTGAAGATATGGCGGATAACTGCTGTGACATCGACAAATCAGTGGACCATACTTCAGCTGCATTTAGTGTGGAAGGGGTGACAGGGCGCAAGAAGAACCGTCGCGGGGCACTAAAACTGATGGACTGTGACAGCTTGATGACCGCAGCCTCTACTTCTCGTCGTGAACGTAGTGCCCGTCGTGGAAAGTCTGCCAAGGCCCGCAATAAAAAAAGCGGTGGCCATTCGATGGCTAAGGGGCGCAGATCTGGTGGCGCTTTCTTCAAGTATTGCGTGAAGCCTAAACCAGGACATAAGATATGTCTGCACTGTCAGCGCAAGAAGGCTCTACAAAATTAATACCAAAACATCCTGAGGCAAACATCAAAATTTAGCGTTTATTTCCAAATTAAGTAACTCATTTGTGTTGGTATTATTTGAGAGGTTTTCGGAATTTCGTTTTTATATGAAAATATTATTAAATGTTATTGCGACATGTACAACTGGTAGCTCTCTTAGTTTCTTGGTTAAAAGGGGAAAAACTAAAGCAAATCAACTACCAAAATGGGTACAAGATTTACAGCTTTTTACACTTTTTAACAACTATTTAGCAGCAGGTCAGCAGCTCTCGCTCTTAACAATTAAGTTTAACCCATTGTCCTTGGCCTTGTGTATGATGCTGACTGCAGTTAATGTCATACGAAATTCTCTTGTCTAAAAACTCCCTTTCCGTCATACTGAAACTCGGAAACTTTTTTTCCTTTTTGCATATTTTCGGGCACGTTCTGCACTCTGTTTTTTGTGTGTAGTGCCAAGTCATAATTTCTTTATATTACTGTCCTTGGCCCTCTTTCATGATTTTTTTGCTGTTGTTCTTCTTGTTGTTGCGTGCTCGTCTTTGGATGGCAGTGCAACATTTGCTTTGTGCAACATTTTAATTACGCATTCAGTTGGCGCAGACTCGCAAGAATTATGGCCCAGAAGGAGCAGCAAGAGCAGCAGCAGGACGACGGACGGACGGACGGATGCAGGTCCTGCTGCCGCGGCAGGAGTCAGCTGCTTGCCACTCCCACTTAGTTTAACATTTCGCGCTATTTATGCATAATTTAACCATTTTATTTTATTATTTGTGCTCTCCCGACTGCTTGTTTCTGCCTCTTGTTGCAAATAAATGGCTGCAAATATGCAAAAATAATGTACACGGCCCCTCTGCACACCCGCTAAAAACATTGTTGCAATGCTAAAACTTTTGATGGGCAGGCATAGGTTTTTTGTTTTTGTTTTGTTTGGCACAGCAACAGCTTGAATAAATGTTTTGATCGGGTTAACTTCGGCCTGGCCGTCACATTTTATGGGCCCCAAAGTGAGCATAAAATCTTAGCAATTCCCAAATTTATCATAAAAAAACTAGTTAGAGGACTTGTACGGCCTGAAGGGTTCCGTTCCGAGTTCCGTTTTGGGTACAAGTAAAACATTTTAAGTTTAATGGCAATTAACCTTCGCGCTACGAGCAAAATTAAAATCATGAGCCTGAAATAACCCGCGTATGTGGCTCTACATAAATCTACAACCTCCCAGCCATCTAGAGGTTGGTGTCCCTGGCAAAGTGGTGGAACAAGGACTGAGGCAGACATGACACGTATTTATAGCACGCCAACGACCTACACTTGGGCCTCCACATTGCTAATACGCCATGTTGGCTGATGCTCAGTTTTCTGCCTGTTCTTTGTTTTATGTGCGAGTGCATGTACGAGTGTGTGTGTAGTACCCACACACACATTCACACCCTCACACAGACAGGCAGGAACTTACATATTTCGAGTGCAAGTCAAGTCTCTCACTGGCTCTGACTCTGGCTCTATCTCTGGCTCTTCCATGCTGCACTTCTTGCTGGCACGCCTTGGCATTTGTATTAGCTGATTGTGTGGGTGGGTGGGGATGCTGTGGCTGTAGCTGTGGCTCGCTTGCCGCATACAAGCTCGTAAATTGAATAAAAGTTCAAATGTTGGCAATTAATATAACGAAAAAGTTAATGCCAAGGATCCGGGCGCTGCATCCACAACCAACTGTGGCTGTGGCTCGCGCTCCGGCTCAGAGTTCCAAGCTGCAGCTGGAGCGTTGAACAATTGCCTTGGTTAACCCCCTGGGGCGCCCAGTACATGAAGTACAAGATTGCCAAGACTCGGAAATATTTGATAACTTTGTACAATTTTTCTATGTAAAGAATTTATAGTTTAAATCCCATGAAAGTTTCAAGCCGGAAACAAATCTCTTTTTGCAGTTGCCTCTCCCTTGGGGATTCAATTAATGAAGTATGTTGTATTTTTACAACATTCCTTCTGCACAGAATCCTCCAAAGCATGTATGTATGTATGTACTTCCATGTCTGTCGGGCAATTAATTTTGTTAAAATTGTCTGTGTCTGTGTATCTGTGCTCTGGGTGTCTGCATCGTAGCTGTGGAATTTACCTCTTCCTTTTAGCCTTTTGCCGAGATTGTGGCACACGCTAATTGCTCGAAACGGTTGCAAACCTCTTACCCCCAGCCAACTACCAGCCACTCCATTCCACCATCAATTTGTGCTCCTTTTTCCAGGGGCTTCTCGCACCATTGTAATGAAGTCGTGCAGCATTTGGAAATCGTTGCACAGAGAGAGAGAGAGAGCTCGAGCTCTGAAAAACAATGCCGTGCAGGACTCCTATGCTTCGGTTCTGTTTAGTAATTTTTCGCAAAAACCTATTGCACATTTGCTGCAGTTCACACTTGTTGTGTGTGTGCTGAGTGTGTGCCCCAGTTGTTATGCCTCATTGTTCTTGTAATTTAATTGCTGTTCAAGTTGTTGGCTGTAGCCACCACAATACCCAGAGAGAGACCTGTGACCATTTCTGTTGTTTCGAAAATCAAAATCCGCATTAATACGGCACAAAGCCGCTCCATTGATACTATATGTGGTTGTAATTTTCCAGTGATATTCAAAACGAGAACAACCTTCGGAAACAACAATTTGAAACATTTTCTTTTAGCAGCTGCTTTGGCCATTTGCTTGATCATAAACTTAATATTAGGGCAAATTGTTTGAAGCCAACTTTAAATTGTTGTTTTGTGTGCTTGTGTGTGTTTGCCAAATGATTTGTAGCACTGAAACACAACGTTGTAATGGCTGTTAATGCGTTTTATGATGCCCCCTAATGTGCAGCGTTTTCCTTTTAATTATTTAAAGGCGCACACCATGCGTATGCTTGATATTTAATAAATGACAGCCATTTGGCAGAGAAGAAGACTTGGCGTAAATGGATATCGTTCCGTTCCGCCTTTGGTGAAGCAATTTCCATCATCTGACTCGCACTCGCGCACGTTTCTTATTCCCCCCCCCCGTTGGTCTGGGCAACCGACGACGACTCCGCTCCTGTTGATATTTGTTTGGCTACCACCAAACGCAAGCGGCGCAAACAAGGCGAAAGGCAAATCTAATTTCTGGAGCACAACTCGCAAAAGATTACGCAACAGCAACAACAAACAAAAAATGGCCGCCAGAGAGTGAGAGAAAAAACAGCTAGAGCCAAAGAAAAATCAAGCAAATGTCTGAAAGTCGGGTGGCGTGGCTGCTGAAACGTATGCACTGCATGTGTGTGGCATAAATCAAAGCTAGACAATTTTTGGCTGTGGGGAAAACATGAGGAGTGAAATAAGAAAAACAAGTGGGGAATGCTGGCATGGAGAGCCGAAGTTTGGGATACTCTAGTAGATAAATTCTATATATGGGGGTTATATCTAGTAAAAACTCCACTGAAGTGCAAAGAAATAATGTTTCCTACCCTACCCCTTGGTAGTGTATGCCCAAACAACAACAAGCGGTAGCAGCAGCGGAACGGCCCAAAAAGGGAAGAAATCAAAAGTAAGTGACAAGCAGACAGGCAGACGCACACAAAACACATGTGCACCGCAAACAAACAGGATGTTCGGGCTGTATGGATGTGTGTGAGTGTGTGCGTGTGGGGTTCGTCCTGCTATGCTTGACAAGTTGCTCTTTGAATATTTAGAAAGCTCCATACGGTGCCCCCATGAAACGTTTAAGTACTTTAATTGTTCTGTGTCGAGCTGTTGACAAGAGACGCTCACAAAAACTCTTGAGGGTGAGAAAAGATAAATGTTTGTTGTCAGGGCAAAGTGGTGTACATAGGGAGTACATACCTATATGGAGAAATGTATTTTTCTTTAATCTTTCAAACGTAAATTACACTTTAAATAAATACTTCTATGCTTGATTAATTCCACTCTCCCACCCTCTCTCTGTCTCTAGCTTAGCCTCATATTTTTCTGTAACTTTGGTGCAAAACTGTTTTCAATTATTTTTCCCATTTTACATTTTCCCGTTGCAGACACACACACACACAATTCAGTTCTTATCAGAGCTCAATAAATTGCTGTCTCAACACAAAACGCACACCTGTGTCTGGGGCCAGAGGATTAGGAGCTGTCAGCCAACTGCGAGAGTTGCTTAACCTCTCTCTCTCTCTCTGGCTGGGTGAATGGCAGTACCAGTCCCCCCACCCAGTCTCTATATACATTTTCCATTTATTTTCTGTTTTTTTTTTAATCACTCCTCTTGGACGAAATCCCGACCCCCAACTCTGCCAGACAGTTGGGTACACAAAATATGTCAGCAAACGAAAAAGAAAGAAAACATCTAGCAATGTTTCCTTAGACACTGCCCAGACAATGGACCTCCGCCGCTCGGCTCATGTCAGGCGCATTTTTACTGTCTGCCTGTCACTGGACTAAACTTTACTTTTGCAGGGATTCGCTTTATTTTCAACCGAAAAACCGCACTGACAACTTCGGTGATTTGGACTGGCATTCAGTGCCAACAAAGGCAACAGCAGCGAATGGAGCGAGCAGCAATTATGTGCGAGGATTGATGAATGGCCAACAACAATTGCATTATCCATTTGGTTAATGCTGAATGCAAATCATCGTGTGTGTGTGTGTGTGTGGGCGCTATATAATTGATTGGGCCTCTGCCTCAGCCTCAGCATAAAAGTATTGACTCCTTTCGGTTTGCTTTTACGTATAGAGCAAAACCGCAGTAACCGCAAGGGATTACTACATCAGAAATAACCGCAAAAGAGGTTAATGCACTCTGTTACACATCGAAAATCAACCTTCAATGGCTTTCAAAAGGCCACTGCTGCTGTCAAACTCATATGTGTGTGTTTCCTTTCTCATTTGATATTTATTAATGGAAACAAAAATGTGGGTAAGAGCCAAACCAAAAATTGAATGCATCAGCGAACCAGTTAATATTAAATTACCGCATCAATAAGCAGCAGAAAAATTTGATTGAACAACAATTTCTAGAGGACGAACTATGCTGAGATTGAGCTTGAGGCTTGTTGCCTTCCCCACAAACATCAAACGCTTCATAAACGCGAAGCATAACCCAAAAATAAAAGATAGTTAGGACGGAAGGAAGAAAAAACTTATGACTCCCAAGGGAGAC